GCGCCATGGCGGCCTGGCGGCGGCTGCAGCTGCTGCCGCCCCGCAGGCCCCGCAGCTCCGCGGCGGCCGCCGGGGCCACCGACGACGACGGCGGCGGCCTCCTCAAGTGGGGCCTCCTGCTCGTCCCGCTGGGCACCTTCGGCCTGGGCACCTGGCAGGTAGCGAGCCCTGGGGCGCGGCGCTTCCGCACGTTCCCCCTCAGGAGGCACCGCGCTGTGCTTGGCTTTCCCCGTGTCGCTTTGCAAGGATCCCGCAAGTCTTTTGAGTGCAGATTCAGTGCTTTTGGTTGTGTTTCGCTGTTTCATCTCCCTCGCCTCACGCGCAGCCGGTAGCCCCTGTGTTTGGGGTCTGTGGTTGTCTCGCATTAGGCAACTAAGGCCTGGGGAGAAAATACCCGTAAAGAAAGAGTTTTGGGGCTTGCCAGGGTTACTGCACCGCCCTGCCCCGTGTGTTTCCAGGTTCAGCGACGGAGGTGGAAACTGGACTTGATTGCGCAGCTGGCGTCGAGAGTCACCGCAGAGCCCGTCCCTCTGAGCCTCGAGTAAGGAAGGTCCTTAGAGCTGCTGAAAAGCGCTGGGAAAAGGAGGATCCCCCCACAAAATCCCCGGCCCGGTGGGTGGTTTGTCCTCCTCAGCCATGGGTCTGTTTCCCTCTTACTCCGTGCAGCCCCATGGAACTGAAGGACTTGGAGTACCGGCCTGTGACGGTCCGGGGCCGCTTTGAGCACTCCAAGGAGCTCTACGTTTTGCCGCGGGCGCTCGTGGATCCTGAACGGGAAGCCAGGGAAGCCGGACGGCTGACGTCCAGCCCGGACGTCGGAGCAAACGTCGTCACTCCTTTCTACTGCACTGACCTGGGGTAAGGAAGCCTGAGAAATGTAGTTAATTGAAGCCGTGCTTCATCCAAGCCAACTTTTCTTTTTTAAAAAAACTTAATGTTAGCGACAGGACTTACATTAATGACTCACTCTGTCACTTAAAAGGTGCCTCTCTTGCAATCATTTAAGTCACTGAGGCTCGATTCCAGGTTATATCTGAAATCCCTTATAATGTGCACTCAGATGACAAAAAAGCCCAAGTGGTCCTAAACATGTTTTTGGGGGGTACTTAGCTTTAGGTAGCAGCAGGAATAATGGAAAATTTCCTTCTTCTAATGAGCCATAATTGTCCTCTCTACAACTGTAGGGTCACAATTTTAGTCAACCGAGGATTTGTGCCCAAAAAGAAGCTGAAACCAGAGACCAGGCAGAAGGGACAGGTAAGAGGAACAGAGGGAGGCCTGGTCAGTTCCTTCCTACTCTGTAGTTACCCAAAGGGACACTAATGTCCAAGAAAGTCAGTAACCGTGTTTAACGTCATGGGAGGTACACAGAGTCCTTGCACTTCTCAAAGAATGTAAACTTTCCTTTTTCTTCCCCCTTTTTTATGTGTTGAGTATATAAGTGTTTTTTCTACAAGCAAGGACCTGATCCTGCCCCTTTTACCCTGCTGTGTCACAGCCTTGCCCTGCTGTGGGGCACTACTATTTGTTCTGCAAGCAGCCCCTTGCAGGAGCTGGTGTGCTGAAATGTGCTTGTTGAAAAATCCCCTTTTTTTTTTGTCTCCCGCCCTTCAGATTGAAGGTGAAATTGATCTCACTGGAGTGGTGAGATTGTCAGAAACACGGAAACCTTTTGTGCCTGAAAATAACATTGAGAAGAACCGCTGGCATTACCGTGACGTGGCAGCCATGGCCAAGGTGACGGGGGCCGAGCCCATCTTTATCGACGCGGATTTCAGTAAGTTACAGGGGGACCGAACCCTGTGTCCACTTTACTTCCATCTCAGCCTGCTTTTCAGTTCCCTTGGATCCCAAAACGCCTCCTACACCTGTGGGTTTTATGGTAACTTAGGAATACTGTAGCCTAAGGAAGAGCAGTGGGATCCCGAGGCATTTACCAGCATCTTCTCACAGAAAGGACAACTCTGTGCAGCGCAGACTGTCCTTAAGATTTACTGTGATGCCCTGTGTTGTGCCTGTAGGAAGCACGGTCCCAGGGGGGCCCATTGGAGGCCAGACACGAGTGAGCCTGCGAAACGAGCACATGCAGTACATCCTCACATGGTGAGTGTCCCGCGCGCTGATGCTCTAAACCTGGAGCTTTCAACTGCCTCCTGTTGGAAGCAAGTGAATAATTTTACCCCGATGTCCGGCTCCAGCATCTGGGAGACTGAAGGAGGCCTTAGCTGCAAAGCTGGAATTTAAACCTAAGTGACATTTGCAAGACAATTTGAAATAATGTGTAAACTGTATCTGACCTAAGAGGTCCCATCCCTCTTGAAAAGTGAGTGTAAAAATATGTGGTTTCCTCTTGCAGGTACGGGTTATGTGCAGCAACCTCATTCATGTGGTACAGAAAATTCCTGAAAAGGCCCTGAAAAAAATGAAGTATCCCACGATTGCAAGTCCTGCATTCAATGAACTCCTGCAGCTGCCAAAATGCAAACAGACCTTGAGCAATGGATGCCCATTCAGAGCTTTTACCAGTGACTCTGGCTGCAGCTTGGAAAAATGCCAGCTCCAAAACTATGTGCCTCTTTGGACTGAGGCTTAAAAGCAGCTTCACCAGACTGCTCCAGGCTACAGTTTTCCACTCTGATGGGACAGTGACTGTAAGCTACAATATCCAAACTCCTCCATGGCTGCATTTTCCATGGAATGCGTTGTAAGCAACTGATAATAAAAGATTTTATTAAGCACAAAAATTCCTTTGTACCAACTACTCTTTCCTGAAGTCAGGACAGTGACAGAGTGCAGCTGAATCAAATAAATAAGGGCCTAGAGCTGCTCTCTTGGGACTTGCTTGAACACCTTCTATGGCACAGTGACACATGTGGGTTAGAGGATACTGGGGACAGCCAGCTAGCACTCTTGCAAAGCTAAGGGAGAGCAACGGTAGCAAGGTGGCCTCTCTGCTCCTGCCAGAGCTCAGGGAGCTCAGTACCCTCTGACAAGAGACAAACCCAAGTCTATAGCCAGCAAAGAACAGGGGATTTTGATTCTTCCTGCACTTACTGCAACAGCAGAGGCATCACAGACCTCCTAATAAGAGGTGCTAAGTGGTAGGCTACTTAAAAAGCACTGGAGCACACTCCAGGCACTTGTCCTCATACCAAATAACCGGTTCCACACAGCTGTTTGTGCAGGGTTTGGTTGAAGGCATAAAGAGGAAAATTAAATGGCAATATGGCAAAGCTACCCAAGAGTCCAAGGCCCTCCCATTAACAGAGACAGCTGAAACCTAATTTGGGGTTTATTTTATGTACAGAAACACGGCAGCAGTTGGGTAGATCTTCAACCCAGCTTAGTTGCCAGCTCCTTAGCCTTTGCCTTCTCAAGCTTGGCAATGCGAGCCACTGATTTTGGACCCAGGACGTTACCACCCCAGTGACGACGGATCTGGAAAGAAGTGAGAAAAGTTAGATGCCTCGTAAAATCTCTTCTATCATTCCTGTCACTTGCAGCATTCCATTCTTTTATGCACAAGAACCACACTGTCAGTTTGGAATTCCTACATAGTGAACCACATTTTCTGCCCTGTGAATGGGGCAGGTTCAACCACCATGGAATGTGTCACTTGAAGACAAGGACAAGGTCCAGCATTAATTGATCTACTCTAGACAATTCTAGCACTGCGTTAGCTCCACTTGCACCTAACTTGGGGACAGGAGAATGTCAAGGCTTCTGCCCTTTTCCCCATCCCTTAGGTAAAGAATACAGACACCATCACAGCCAACAGACTTTATATTAACTGCAGTTTTGCTGGAAAGCTATTGGAGGTAAGGTAACAGAAAATACAAAGACCACAATAATCATTCTGCGATTCTGTGAACAGTATGAACTGTAATAGACAAGGGTAGCTGCAAAGAGAATCTTACCTCATCGTATCTGTCATTGTAGTTGGTCTTGACAGCCTCCACCAGCTTTGCAAGGGCACCCTTATCCTCCCTGTTGGGGAAACCATCAATGCTTTAAGGAACTTGCACCACTCACGTTACATCTATAGTTTTATCTACAAATTCCAATTAAGAGTGGAATTAGAATTCCACTCTGATTCTAATTCCACCCGTTCTAATAAAGTAAACCACATCTCTAGGATGTGACAGACCTCTTTACACAACACAACATCTGTATTACAGATTATACAGACAGTTCACCCCCATGTGTATTTTAGTATTACTTTTAAGCTAAAACAACCTGAATTTGTTACCTTTATGTCCTATTATCTGTGTTTAAAGGCCATTTTCTTTCCCAATGATAGCAAATTAAATCTGCACACGGAACACTTACGGGTTGACCTGGGTGAAGGCCACACAGGTGCAGGTTTTGCGGTGGACCAGGCGTCCCAGCCTGGCTTTGCCCTTGATGATGCAGTACGGCACTCCCATTTTGCGGCACAGCGCCGGCAAGAAAACCACCAGCTGAAACGGACGGCACCGCATCATTAAGACAGGAACAACTCTCCATTCCTTCAATGAGTCTAGGCTGTGGCAGTTGCTCAGTGTTAAAAAGCTCGTTTTGCTCTTCATTTTTATTCAGGTGAAGAAATTCATACATCATCGCAAGGGCCAAGCCTAATTGTAACACCAGGACAACTGTGAACATGCCAAGCGTTCCGGTGAACAGATATTTCTGTGCATTCTTTTTTCACGCAGAATAAACTTAGTACATCTCTCCTCCCTCTTAGGAGCTGATTAATGGCATCCAAACATACTTAAGGATGGACACCCTTAGCAAGTAGTATATCCACCGAGTGTGCTTACCTCAATGGGGTCTACATCATGGGCAATTACGACAAGTTGAGCTTTCTTGTTCTCTACCAGAGTGGTAACAGTGTTAACACCTGAAAAACAGATTAGAGAAAGATTTTACTCCACATCAATCTGTTTTTAGAGCTTTTATATGAGCCTAGCATAACGAATTTGGATTCCACGGCAGAGCTTCAATATGAGAAAAGAAACTTTTCACATTCATTCAGGCGGCCAGAGGTGACATTCTATGGACAATCTGCTAAAGCTCAGGGTTAAAAAGCTCGTCTATTTTCGCTCTTCACTTCAAGCTCAGGTGAAGAAATTCAAACATCATTGCAATAGCTTGTCCAATGCTGTTTGGCTGTAGCAGAGAGCTAAATCTCCTAATCAGTTGTCTAATGAAGTCTCCTATTCCTGTACATGCAAGCAGGCAACTCACCTGCTCGGAGAACTGGTGGCCTCTTTGTTGGAGCATCTCCCTTTCCTGCAGCTTTCTGCTCTGCACGAGCCAGCAGCCTTTGCTTCTTCTCTTGCTTAGTTTCAGGCCTGTACTTGTGTGCCAGCTTCAGAAGCTGCGTCGCTGGAACAGAACATGGACTTTGCTTACAAGGTGCACAGCCCAAGAACCTCAGCATTACTCTTTAGAGTGCGCAAGTGCATCAGCGATCTTGGTGGTTGTCATCAATTGTATTAAGCAACAAGTAATTAGCATCGTTTGCACAGCACGAGTACAGAGCTAGGAGAATACCCCTAGCACACGTGTTTACCTCTAAGTACACCCAGTTGTTTTTTTAGTAGAGAAATGTCTGCTGCCTCCCCAAGACCTATGGTTTAAACTGATAAATGCTCTCATTGAAAGCAAGTAGGTTGTTTAGCAACATCTATGAGGACGCTGCTTTACAAACACTGGATGTATGCTTTTTGTTTGCATTATCAGAGATGCTGTTATAGCTCCACTACGCTGCTACCACAGTTGCTCCAGCTTACTCCTGCTACACTCTATTCTAATTTCCTTCCTCTCCTTTGACACATACCCCAGTAAAGGATACGCTGGAATTTTAGGAGGGCCATCCTTACCTGTCTGGCGATCCAAAGCCTGAGTGAACTGGTTAATTGCAGGAGGCACCTTCAGCCGCTTGTACAGAATAGATCTCTGCCGCTGCAGTCTGATGTAGCGGGGCCATTTCACGAAACGTGTAAGGTCACGTTTTGGCTGGATATCCTGTCCTAGAAACACAGACTTTTAACCCGAGGTCTCTCCAAGATGACAAAGAAACAGTACAGAATTGACATGAGTGCATCAGCGATCTTGGTGGTTATATGTCAGCACTATCATTCTGATAGCAAATATTCTTTCACATCACTTGCACATACAAGAAAGAAAAAAATAAATAAAAAATTGTTTATCAATTGAGCCCACCACACTTAAATGTCAAGGGGCAAGAATCACCACAACCCAATCCAATATTGGATCTCTGCATTCTGCAAAAACTAACTAGATGTTTGTGGTGATCTGTACACAGCTGGTGAAGGAAAGATTCATCCCTGTGAGTGTGATGGGAAATCAGAGGGGATCTTTACCACCTCCGTACGTTTTTTTTCACAAGGCATAAAAACATATGCAACAACAAAAGCAATTCTTGAACAGCAAGCAGAACGGCTCGCAGCTTACTCACCAATACCAAAGTTCTTGGGCCTCTTCTCAAAGAGCGGGTTGACAACCTTCTTGGCCTCCTGCTTCTTGACTACAGCAGGGGCCGGTGCCACCTTCTTGCCCTTGGCCTTCTTTCCCTTCGGCTGCAAAGAAGGAACACACTCACCTTCCTGCCACACAAAATCCCCTGCTCCCCCAAATAAATCATTACGTTTGGGTCAGAAACACCCCGTTTCCCTCAGCCAGGCGGCCATCAGCGCCGAGCTAGCAAGCGAGGTAGGCCTCAGCTGCAGCGTCCTGCGGATCAACCCCCATCCCTGTAAAAACTGGCACCCGCGGGCCCGCCGAGCTCTTCGACATCCTCCTCCGCGCCCGGCGCCGCCGCCCACCCCAAAGAAGGCGCAGATGGCGGCGGATGACATCGCACCCCCAAACCGCACCGCCCGCCACTCACCATCTTGGAGGGAGGAAGAGAATGAGCGCGCGGGGCATGCCGGGAAATAGCGCCGCGCCCCAAGTCTCGCGAGAGGCAGCGGCGCCTCGCGCGAGGCGGAGGGATTTAAAGGGGCAGGCGCCGCGTTGGGGGTGTCGCCGCCCGCCATGTCGCAGCAGCGGGTGCTGCCGCAGAGCAAGGAGACGCTGCTGCAGTCCTACAACAAGCGCCTCAAGGATGACATCAAGTCCATCATGGACAACTTCACCGAGATCATCAAGACCGCCAGGGTGGGTTAAGGCTGTGGTTAGGGCGCTCTTGAGGGAAGGGGCCTTGTGGGGGGGTGACTGACCGTTAGGCGGGAGTGAAGGGCGGTCTGTGAGGGGAAAGAAGGAGCCGTCAGAGGGGGACGTGAAAGGTCTGTGAGGGGAGAGAAGGGCCCAGCTGTTATGTGGGGTTATTAGGTCATATGGGAAGGGGATTTCTTACAGTGAAGTAGTTGTATTTCATAATTTTTGTGTGTAAAGGTGGTTGTTTGGGCTTTTCTTTTTAGATTGAGGATGAAACTCAAGTGTCTCGAGCAACTCAGGGTGAACAGGATAACTATGAGATGCATGTCAGAGCTGCAAACATTGTAAGTACTGCCCTGCTGTGGTCAAAACACATCGGGCAGCGTGTCTGTTGTGCACTGTCTAGTTTGTTATAGCATCTAGTGTTGTGTTCAATGCTTCTATGCACTGCTACCATGAGGACAGTCAGCCCTTTGGGGTGGTTATGGGACATTTTTCTTCTCTAAAGGAAAACAGGATAGTCTGGATTAACAGTTACAGGTCTTTCTCTGAATTCTAATCTAAAATGGGAAGGACTTTTTTTTCAGGGCCATCTAGACTAGATGTGGCCAGCTTACCCAGTATAGGACTGAAGCAGCAGTTTAAGAGAACTTGTTTCAGAACTAGAGCTGTTTTGATGTGCTCTGTACTCTGTGATTCCTTCTATGCTGCAAGGTCCGAGCTGGTGAGTCCCTGATGAAACTTGTGTCGGATCTGAAGCAGTTCTTGATCCTCAATGATTTCCCCTCTGTGAATGAAGCCATCAACCAGCGCAACCAGCAGCTGAAAAGCTTGCAGGAGGAATGTGACAAGAAACTGATTGCACTACGGGATGAGATCTCCATTGACCTGTACGAGCTAGAAGAAGAATATTACTCTTCCAGGTACAAATAGAGCAATGGACTTTTGCCTACTGTCTCCCTCCCTTTTGGGGGAGTTGACCTAGAGAAACAGCCCTTAACATACATGTCTTTGAGGTTCCCAGCAAAATTTTGCTCCCTTGTTTTTGTTTAGGTCAAGCTTTCTACAACTTAAAGCAGTTATCTTTTCCTTGCGGATATTCTACAGGAGTGCCCTGTTCTAGGTGCCTGCTTTAGTCAGCTAGATTTGACAGGGAATTTATTGGCTTTTTTTCAGAATCTTTAGCAAAGGAAAGGTGTTTCCTTGGGTAAAAATAGGCTTCTATTTGAAGTGTCCTTCTGGAGGAGCCTCTGTCTCTCTTTTCCTAGAGAGCTAGGCTTAAGAGTCGGATGAAGTGAGTATTTCCCATGTCTTTGTGGCGAGTTCTTTCACAAGTGACCTGGTTACACAGTGTGCCTTTTTTCTTCTAGTCCACTGCCCAGCTGCCTGAAGTCCCACTGAGGTGAACATTTGAAAGAGTAAAAATGACTTTCTCAATTTTATTGAATTGTGAGGTATTGTGATAGGATTTTTTATGAAGGACTCAATACTGATTTGTTTGTGGGATTTAATATTTTTAAGAGACTCTTACATAGGAAGAAAGCTTTAGGTGATTCAGACACTTTATTTTTTATTTTTATTCTTTCCATGCACTCCAGCACTTCTGGTTGATCGTGCAGTAGATGAAAGTAGGAAAAAAAACAGATGAGAACCTGGTTATTTCAACTGTACTGTCCAAGCTAAGTCAGTGAGATAATGGCATGAGTTGTAAACAAAAGCTGATTTAAGCTTGCAAAATTTTAAGATTTTAATGACTAGAGTTGTCTTTTCTATCTTTCTGTAGCTTTAACCTTTAGATTAAGGGGGTTCTCACCATGTGGCTGATGTAGTCTCACCTGTCTGGCACCACATGCTGCATAAAGCCACGCTCCTTAACAGAACTACCCTATAAGCACAATGTTTTCCTGTTCTGGTTACGTTAAGTACATCTGCCTTTATGCTCTGTAAGAGTGGCCACGAGGTGACAAATCTTGGCTAAGCTCTAGAGCTGAGATCCCTCCACTGAGACCTCATATCGTGTAGCAGTACCTGGTGCTTTAGTTGTTTCTTTTTGAGACTTCTTTTTTTCTTCTCTTGTGTTCTTTGCTGTCTTTATTTCTGCACCAAAGAAATGTGTGAATATAGGAAAACAATGATTTATTCAAGATGCTTTTATAATTAGAGTATTAGGATATTTTTAATGAAACTATATTGTCTGATGTGGAGAAAGGTCTGTGTGTTGCATCAATCATGTTTTAATAGCTGTAAATGCAGCAGGGCTTGCCCACACGTGGGTATTGCCTGCTCCCCCTTTGCACTCTCTGTTACTCTCTAGTAAAACTTTGTTTTCACAGGATTTAGAGGCTTGCAGTCCCATGAGGCCATATAGCTTTCCTGCCAAACTGCTCTCAGGTGCTCTGGTTGGTTTCTCTTGGGTCATTCTAAACTTCCCACCCTGCCGTACCTCCAGATACTGCAAAACTAAGGGCTGCCTGATGGTGAATGTGGTTCTGTTAGTACCTATGCTATGAGAAATCCGTAGGAGAGAACATTTTCTCCTATTTGGCAGCTGTTGCTCTTATTACCTTAGCGCTGCTTAGGAGATGCCTCCCTGTCCTCTGCTGGGCAGGGAGTTTCAGGTCTGCTGGACATAAGGGTTCTTAGTGCTGAATTTCATTGTACATAGGAGTTGTAATGAGGAAACATGAAAACAAATCTGTGAAACTAAAGCTGAGTAGATTGCTTTGAAGGAATTTTTGCTTTCAATCCTCCAAGTTCAAGTATCTTTCTAGATAGATTCCTTTGTGCAGACCTGCCGTGTGTCCCAAGGGAGCAGTATAGGCAGAGAGTCTCTGTAGAAGGACAGCAGCGGGTAAAACAGTGCTGCTGTGGGCTTTGCAATAGTCACTTTTCACCTTGGGTTTTGAGGAGTGTTAAATGGGAGGTGACACTTAGACTTTTGGAGCTGCTCTTCCTGGGGCAGCAGCAAAAGCAGGTATAGTTATGACAAGTTTAAGGGGCCTGGCTGATGTGGTGACTGCTGTGGCCCAGCTCCATTTGAGAACTAGGGACTAAGGTGCAAGACTAAGAAAAGAGATGGTAGTTCTGGCTTAGTGCTGAATGCCCCCACTAACTGAATCAAGCTGCACTTTTGGGGGACTGTAGAGCAGGGTAACATATCTTCATGTCCCAATAAAAGGGATCATATAGGAAAGTTTTAAAAGCCCCAAGTATAATGCCTGTATCTGCTGCCTTCTCACCTAGGTTTCAAAACAGCTGTGCTACCAGAAAAGAGCCCCACAGTAGATGCTTGAAGCAGGGCTTTGTGCACTTGTTCTGCAAAGCAGTAACTCAAGTCCAGCTTGCCTTAAAGCCAAACTTGGTTTATGTTCCTTTGCTTCCTCCTCTGAGATCACAGGCACTATCTTGTGTGGGGTTAGATCTCAACATGTTATGTATTTGTGCAATGTGAAGTGTCTCTTACATTTTTACACTTAAGTATTTCCCATAAGCATCTATTCAAGTCCATACATTAAATATGTGAATAAAGCTGCAACAACAACCACTTGACCAGTTGGGTTTGTTTTACTCTGGATGCAAGCTGCTTTCTGCCCTAGCACTCACTATGTCTTGCGTGTGTCTTGTATGTGCAGCTCTTTCTTTGTTTTCTTTATGGAATCTTTCATTGCTTTTCTCTTTATTTTTGGCCCTTCCACGTGGTATTTCCCTTAGAGCACAGGGAAACGCAGGGGGGTGCGTTTTCTTAAACTACTTTTGCATACTGATAGTTTATACAGTTAGTCTACAGTGATAAAATCCAGCAAGCTGCTCTTAGAACAACTGTTAACTGAAGATCTGCTTGAAGGCACTAGAAGCTGACAGTATTTTAGAATCAAGCTAGGGACCCTTCAAAAGTAAGACCTTCTGTGGAAAGGCAGGGATGCAAATAGGGTTTCTTCCTCTTCATTACAGGGGCAGACATTAAAACAATTGAATTTTTTTTTTCTCTGAATTTAAATCTGGGGCTTGAGTTTTTTCCTTGTTTAGCTCATAATCTAACTTCAAGTGAAATGTTTATGATTCAAGGGTCTGAAATCAGTGGCAAAACTCCTGTGTTTGGGAATGCTAGAATTTTAACCCACATCTTTTTAGGCGCTTGCAGCAGCTGAATTAAAATTCAGTCTCTGACTCAGTTTGCATCCAAAAAAAGTCTCTAATTTCCCAATCCTGATCAGGCTGTGAGATTCAACACCAGCCCTTAAGGGATATCTTAGGCCAGTGGTATAAGACCTATGATGAATTTGTGATCACAAACCTTACATCCGTGGATGGTTTTTTGCTATTTCCTTAATGCTTTGCTTCTGTCTTGCTTTTCTCCCTCCTCACTCCCTTCCCCCCCATTTGCCCCTGCTCTCTCCTTACTGGGTTGTTCTGGAAAGCTACAGTCTGTGTGACAGCAATGATCTGCCCTTGTGCGAAGCCTACTGGAGACAAGACCTGGCCACGCTGTCCCCCGAGAGCCTCTCCATGCCTCTGACGAGTGCCCCGGCAGAGCCGAGCGTTGCCGCCCCGCAGAGCTCAACCCCATCGCACCCGCACGTGAACGGGCACGGGGCAGGCCCCGTGGAGCACTCCTGAGGAGGCCTCCCTGCTGGCTGCCTGCATGGATCCCGGTGGCACCGATCTGGGAAGCCTTCCCGCTGGATAGCTTGCACATCTCCTGCTGTATTGCAGGCTGCTCCTGCCTGGATAGCCACAGTGCGCTCTCTGGCCTGGGGCACTGCCACAAGCAGTCCTCCCCCTTGGCAGAAAGTAAAAAGAAACACATTCAATTGTTCTAACAAGTTTTGATTAGGTTTGGTTACTTTATCATCGCCATATGTAGTGTTCATTAGAAATTCAGCATTTATTTCCATTTGAGTCTCAACCAGCACATGGTAGAGTGCTGGGAATTCAGTGTCTTCTTTGGAGTAAGATGTAAGCCAAATCGGGGGGATAGTGAGTTTTGGGTTTTCCTGTTACCTCAGCCTTTTTGGTTGTTTTAAGTCTTCCTCTTTCAGGATGCCATCAACCAACCTCTGTTCTACCTAACTGGAATAAGAATCTCACTGTATTTCTTGCAGAGTACTCTACCTGCAAAGTACTTTAAAAACTTGAACTCTTTCCAGGTATTATTTGGGAGGAAGATCTCCTAAAGGCACTTGCCAGCAGTATTTTTCCTTTAGAAAGAAGGAGCAAATAGAGGAATCGCTGTGGGTTGGGTGGTGCAGCTTGCTCAGTGCTACAGACTGAGGCAATCGCAGACTCAAATCTGCTTCCTCTGAGTATTTACACAGAAAGCTTCTGTTACTCTAGCCTGAGCTGATGTGTTATGAAGCTAGTGTTCAAATTTCATTTAGTGAAAAGTGACTAAAGACTACTGAAGGTGTACCTGACACTGAGGGGATATTAACTTTCTTGCAGTTTCCTTTTTAAGCATTGCTTTCAGTGGTTTTTCCAGCTAGCAACTTGGTATTTCTGCTGCCCTTCCCCTGTGCAGTTAATTCTAACTACAGTGAAGGGAAGAGGTGCTTAAACTGCAAGATGGTCGTGACTGTCGTGTTTGGAAACCACAGAGCTACTGCCGCGTTTGGAGCCGATGTCTTAGCTGAGCTTGCCCCATGTTTTCCTGTAACTTCCTTCCAAAGATGTGAATCTCAGTTTACTTTTATTTCTCCCATTCCATTTTTTTTCTTGTAATTAGGTGCTTTAATAAAACTTTTTTTGTACAATTCCAATGTGTGTGTGTTCAGCCCCAAGGCTGTGTAGAAATGATCAAGTCTCGAGCACCAGCAGCCCTCAGAAAGAGGGGTTCTCTGCTCTTTATGTTCAGTCCCTCCCCTCGTAGCTCGTGCCCCAGCTGTGCTCGCTGATGGAGAGCGGTGCAGGGCAGTGCGCGGGACCCTCGGGTCCCGCCTAACGTGGCAGCAGTGCCGGCTCGTGGCACCGCGTGTCCCTGCAGGCTGCGGGGAGCTCTGCAGCAGCAGGGCCTGTGACTCGGGGGGGCTGCAGCTCGCGGTGGCTCCGCAGCTCCCGGGCCCCGTCCCCAGGCAGGCAGCGGCAACGGGGCACCGAGCGCCGGGACGCGCGCGCCGCCACGCCCCGCGTGACGTCACCACCAGCCCCACCGCGTGACATCACCACAAGCACCACCCCCGCGTGACGTCACCACCAGCCCCACCTCCCGCGTGACGTGCCTGCCGCGCGTCGCGGCGTCACTTCCCGGCGCGGGCGCGGCCATGCCGAGCCTGGCCGCGCAGGACTCGTACCTGCAGCGGCTGGCGAGCCGCGTGTGCGCGCAGCGCGACCCCGAGCCGCGCAAGAGGAAGCGCGGTACCGCCCAGGGCCCGGGAGCGCCGGCGGGCACACGCTGCCGTGGCCTTAACGTAATTCTCTTTTATTTGTATTATTCTGACCAGAATCGAAGCCGGGCCAGCCTGAAGATGCCGGCAGGCAGCACAAGAAGAAGAGGAGGAAGAAGCCCAGGAAGCAGGATGGGAAGGCAGCTGCTCCCCCGGGCAAACGGCCGGCGCGCAGCGACGCCGCTCCCGCTCAGAAAGCAGCCCCTCAGCCCAGCGCTTCGTCTGCACCGGGGCGTGCACAGAGCAAAAAGGAGAGTGCAGCAACCGGTAAGAAAACCGGCCTCTGACGGGTGTTACCTGGGCTGAGGCGGCTGCTTTGCAGCTCTGTTACATGCGTACAATTTGGAAAGCTTTTAAAGAAAACCAGTAGAATTGAAAACATTTGTGTTTCTGCTATGTTTCCTAAAAGCTTACGTGTATGCAGGGTTTTTTTCTCTTTTTTTGTGACCACTGGGTGGCCCTCTAAAAATACCAGCATTCAGTTAGTCATGGGTATTTCATATGTACAGCTAACTTCTGGAAATTATGGCTAGTTGCAAATTCTTTCACCCCGTGACAGCCTTCCATTAGGACGCTCCAATACCAGCTGAGTGGAAAAGATGTCTCTGGTGTCTTCATTTCCACCAGCTGGGTGTTTGTCTTCAGGCCTTTTCAGCAGCCATACAGCAGGCCACGTTAGCGTGTGGATAGAAGGGAAATGCTGAAGAAACCAATAAACTGAAGGAGCTGCTGGTTTCTTTAGAATTTCCTTTTTTCTCTACACAGTTTCTCAAGAGATTTTCTGGTCCTTTCCGTAACTTTCTTTTTGGAATCAGCCACAATCAGTTTTGTTGGTGGTGTATTTTAAGTAAACTGTTCTGTTTTCTGCTTCTTGTTCCCAGAGGGTGAAAGCAAAGCCAATTCACCTTCTTTTTCTGCAATGAACCTCTTGCGTCAGAGACTACACGAGAAGATTAAAAAAGCTTCTGGTCAAGTAAGAGAATTTTGATAATATGGAATGCATGTTAGTGTATGTAGATTTATATGTGCAATGTAAACTCTTTCTAGGTCTCATGGGAGAGTCAGGGACAGGGCTGTGATCTTGCTAGGATGTGGGTTTGAATTGACTGCTTTCCACAAAGAAGTGCTTACGGGCAATGTTGGGCATCCTGCATGCATTCCATGATCCAAAGAAAGAAGGGAAGCTGTTTTTTGAGGTTTTTGAGGTTTAGGACCTTAAAAAGCTGATCTCACAGCTTCTCTTTAAGGATACTGTGCTGCTTATGAGAAGATTAAAATGAGCAGCTTGAGTACATCCCATTTCTAATTCTCTTTAAAGCAACTGATTTATGTCAAACCTTTCTCTTAGGATGATGCCAAAGAATTATCCCCTGCTGTCCTGGAGAAGAGGCGTAGAAGGAAATACGAGAAAGAGAGGAAGAAGCGCCGAAGAAAAGAGCTGAAGATGAAGGAGAAAATGGAGAAGAAGACAACAGAAGAATCACCTGTAGAATTGCCTGCAGAGCCACAAAGCAAAAAGGAGGAGAGCACAAGCGCAGCTGAGATTGTCTTTAACAGGGTTGAAGTCCATGAAGAGAATGAGCTGAGCAAGATCCAGAAGAAGAAAGAGAAGAGGAAAGCGGTGAAAGGCCATATTACACCTCTGACCGGCAGAAACTACAAGCAGCTGCTGAGCAGGCTGGAGATAAGGAAGAATAAACTGGAGGAGCTCAAGGACAAAGACCAGAAGAAAGCTCAGGAGCTAGAGAAGAAGATGAAATGGACCAACGCTCTCTACAAGGCCGAAGGCGTCAAGATTCGTGACGACGAGGAGCGCCTGAAGGAAGCCTTGAAGCGCAAGGAGAAGCGCAAAGCGCAGCGCCAGAGGCAGTGGGAGAAGCGGACGGAGAAAGTGGTGGAAAAGATGCAGCAGCGGCAGGAAAAGCGGCGCAAGAACATTCAGAAGAAGAAGAAGGAGAAGATAGAGCGCAGGAAGAACAAGGCCCGCAAGAAGGGGCGCGTGCTGCCCGAAGACTTGAAGAAAGCTGGTCTCAAGTGAGAGGGGGCAGCCAGTCCCTGCAGCCCAGACATTGTGGGACCACGTGTGGGACTCGGTGATTGACTTTCACAGAAGCGCTCTGGCACGGCTGCCTCCCACCCTCTGCATTTTTGTAACGGGGAGCAGATTGAGGAAAATATCGGAGAAATGGGGACCGCCTGGGGGCTGCCAGTGCTCAATTGCTGCTCAATAAAAACCTGTTGTCGTTATGTGATTTGCTTTGCGATCCTGAAGGGCTATTTTATGAGTGTGGGGGTTTATTTATTTGATTTTTTCCCCTTGGTGCTTTTTTCGTTGGATCCTAAGGGGGGAATGAAACGCGGTTGTCGCCAGCGCGGCTGCGCTCCGAGCCGGGCTCCCGCGTTGCCGCGGCAACAGGTGCCGCCCCTTTCCCGGGGCGTTGCCATGGCGGCCGTTGCCATGGCGGCCGTTGGGGCGCGCGCGGGGCCGGTTTCGGTTCCCCCACAGCCGTTAGAGACCGTTGTGGAAAGGGGCTGAGGGGAGAGGTGTGCGGGCCGACATCATGCAGCCCGTGGGCACTGTCCGCCTTGTCCCCAGCGGCGAGGTCTACAAGCAGATCTTTGAAGATGAGGTATGTTTTTTTCTGTTGTGTTCTTTTTAATTTTTTTTTTTTTTTTTTTTTTTTTTTTTTTTTTTTTTTTTTTTTTTTTTTTTTTTTTTGCAAAATTTTGCACCTCTGGCAAAAGCCAAGCCCTCGAAGTAGGTTGGCCGGTTGTTTCCTGACTCTTAAAGCTGTGAGGTTAAACCAGAGGTTGATTGGAAACTTGGTGCATGCAGTTTTAGCAGATTTTGTCTGCTAAAATTGCAGATTTAGCAAAATTGTGTCATTTTAAGGTGCTGCTCTCTAATGGATGCTTTTATTTTCTCATGTCTGGGTTGGTATCAGGAAATACTAAAGGCAAAATCAGGTGAAAACAGCAGTAAAAGAGGTGCAGCGAGTCAGATTCAGAATTTGACTAGTACTGTAGCCTGTGGGGCTTTATTTTTAAAAGGAAAACTCGCCTGAGTTCCATTATTAATGGAACATTTATGGAATGTGTTCCACACATTTACTCCAGGATTATCCAAATCAAGTTTCTGGCTCTGCTGTTGACTCTTCTTGTAACCATAAGCAAGCACACGAGCTTGCTTCAGTTTTTCTGAATCTTAGATAGAAAAATGTTAGGCATGTGCAAAGTAATTCTTGATATTTTATCTTTTCTGCTACCTTTATTTTCCAGTTTCTGCTCATTCTTTCTTCACCTTTGGTCAATCTGTTAGGAAACAATTCTAACCATTTTATTGTATTTTTGAAGGTTCATTTAGTACGCTCTTTGGGCGAAGCGAGGAGCAAGGCTACCATTTCTATGAAGTGTGAAAAGACACCTTTAGTTAAGGATGTGGAGATTTGTACTAGTGAAAAGCCATTACCGCGATACCAAGAGAAGTGCACTGAAAGAATGTCATGTAAAGAGCTCACAGAAAAGCCAGTGCTCTGCAGGTATGGGAAAGAAGTGTAAATACATAATTGTGTGTTTATGAGAGTGGGCATGAAGTTGTAAGACTTGGAGTGTGCATTAGTGTTGAAATCTTGGTTAAAACGTTAACTCCATCTGTGCCCTTTATCAGCTATGTAATGCTATTCTCACTATTAGATAATTTCCTGCATTTTCTAAGCATGAAAACCGTATTATTAAACTTCGTTGGCTTGAATTTCACATCGGTGGAATTCACATCATAGGACATTTGAGGTTTAGCAACAATTAGTTGATAATTAGTCCTATTCTCCTGAAGCAGGAACGCTAATTCTATGACCCCATTTGTATTTTGATGTTAGGAGGATGTTTATATTTACCTAAATGTTACAATTTTTTGCTAATTAGATTGATCTGTAGCTCTCTTACATATTTAGCATCATTTCTCTTTCTAATTTAGGGAAGCTACAGCATTTCAAAGGGATTGGAGAAGTGAAGCTATAATTGCAGTTGAAGAAGTCAGAGCCCTACCTGATTTTGTTGGTAAAAACTTATTTCTCTTAACCTCAGATATGCCTTTAACTACCCATAGAAAGGAAAAAAAACTTGTAAAATTGTAGTTGTTTATCAAAGCACATTCAGATATAAGTTCCAGTTAGGACCTGAGCAGCTGTTATTCTTGGAAGTTGCAATTGTTTACACCATACTCAACCTTATCCATGTTTTTATCCTTCTGAAAAATGACAAATTAAAATTAAAGGAAATAAAAAGTATTTTTTAGCTTTACAATTTTCACCATGGATTAACCTAGAATTTCCTTTCTGTGAAAAGCTGTCAAGCACTATAAAAGCTGCACAAGATATAAAGGCAGTTGGTTTTGTGATTTATTGTGCATGCCATACATTTTCTGCAGCAGCAGTTCCAAACTCCACCAGTCTCATTTCTTTTTTGGGCAGTTCCCGAGAAAACAAGCAGCAATATTTTGGATCGCGTGTCAGGACGCAGGCGAGGCCGTCACGATGAAGCACTGACCTTAATGCACCGTGAACTTGCCTGCATTGCCAGGGTAAGACTGGATCTTGCAGTTCAGGTAGTTTGGAGTGCTATGCAAAAGATAGGAACTAATATCCAAAAGAGCCAGCTAATTCTTTACCTTTTTAGGAAATGGAACCTTTTATTTTGGAGCCTGGGAATTTGCTTTTGTCAAAACTGTTGGAATCAGATAGCAAAATCGAACTTCTGTTCAAAAAGATTGAGCTCCACACTGATCTGGAAGGCTTCTCAATAGAAGTAAGGCAGCAGTTGTCATTTTCTCATTTTCATATTTTTATACCTATTGTTTGCAATCCACTTGGTCTGTGTAACATGTCTTTCTATGTCTAGCTATACTTTTAAGATATAATTGCAATCTTTTACTTCTAACTTCTCAGTGAAATTGCTAGTAAATCTTCCTTGCAGAGTTTGGAAGAATTGTGGGATGTCATCCACAAGGAATCCTTGGCCAGAAGGAAGTGGATTAGGGAAATGGATGAAACCTTAAAAATGGTCGAATGGAGTCGAACTGACAAAGTGAGCTGTGGTTTTAATGACTGTTAATTAATTGTAAGTTTATTATTTAATCACAGTGCTGGGTATAGAATAGAATATTCTATAGAATAGTTTGGGTCTTTTTTTGTTTGTTTGTTTTTTTGTTTGTTTGTAATTATGAGTCAAAGAGCTCTGCCATGGTTTTTAATACACAAGTGATTACTGCCTTTTCGCCAATAGCTCCTGCTCTGATTCTATGCAAACATAATCAGGAAAAAGTTACTGAACACTGGAGATAAAAACGTAAATGTGTGGCTTAATAAGTGGGTAATTCATAATAAAGTCTTTACTGCTTTGTCCTAGCAAGCAACCAAAAGCAGTCTCTGTTTGCAGTGCAGACACAGCATTAGCTCAGCACAAAGCAAATCTCCATCAGCATCACTAGTTATTTTTCTATTTAATTAGTTGTGAAAATGACCAGAGGAGACCAGAGTAAGTTAAGAAACTGACCTCTCAGTTAGATGCCTGTATTGTTTTTTATTGTTTTATTGCACAGATAACAGAAGTACTGAGAAAGTACACCGTGATGTTGGAGGAGATTGCGTTCCTCTTACCACCTGATGTCTACAGGTTCATGAATGATGAAGCCATGGTAAGGGTTTAGTGTTGAGTCGTATCTGTTTGTTAGAAGATGGAAAACTCAAATATTTCCAGAATCTTTCTTCTTTTGCCACCCTGAAACTCATGACTTGTAGCTATCAAAATAATATAGAAGAGCATTTTCCATCTTGCAGTTCTAAATATTTGTATTCTTTCTTCTGTAATCAGTTAGCTCAGTATAGAGCTGGCAGTTTTCTTGCTTGCATGTTATGTGCTGCTCTCGTTCCTGTTTTTATGTTTTAATAAACAGATTATTAACAGAGCCCTATTGGCCAATCGGAGGGCAATTGCCAAGCTGTTCTTTAATCTAATGAAAATGGAGTTGAAAAGGGAATTATCACATAGGTTGAAATGGCAGGATAAGGTGAAGGACTGGAGGCTCCTGCAAAAGAACAATGTGCTTCAGAGTTTCAGGTCTGAAATTTTGAAACTGATTATGTTTTGGAGTGTCTGTAGCACTAGTGAGCAGTGATCATTTGACTTTTTAATTAAAATTATATTTTATTCTTTGTCCTTTATAAAGCTAAGAAAAAATTTAACATTCTTTCATATATATAAAAAACACAATCTGCATTTGTATTTCAAACATGAAATTTTCCAAAGCAGGTGTTTTATATCAGAGTGTTCTTGTATCCTACAGAGAATTTATGGCAAGTGAAGAAATACAGAATCCACCAGCTGTACAACAAGAAGTGGAAAACATGATAGAGAATCACATTTTCCTTAATGAAAGGAGAGTAGAATTTCTGCAACACCTTGGGTATGAAAAAAAAAAGAATAGTAATGGGAAAACAGGGCACTTGCTAGAGCAAATGAATGCTTAATTGTAGAGTCACTCTGTGCATTGCAGACTGGAAGAAGCAGTGCAGCTATAAAGTTCTAAACTTCTACTCTAGACTTCTCTTTAATGGGAAAAAATGTATTTTCTTGAATTTCAGTGCGCAGGTTACATTAATTGTCCTCCAGGCTTAGAAATGCAGGAATGCATAAATAAATCTCTTTGACCATAAAGAAAAAATAGTAGAAATAAGGGCAGACAAGGCTGAGTGGATAAGTAAAAATTGTTGACCTTGTCTAGACATTGTTTAAGGTTAACTTGAATTTGTATAATAAATTAAACTTAAAGGAGATTAATGGGATCTCATAGCAACATATTTTGATTTTCTCCATTCTGACAAAGAGAAGATAGTGTGGGTGCAATTTATTACACTATTGCCATTTTAAAATATAGTCTTTTTCTTAGCTTGTACATAAGAACTATTTGGATTATACTTAGTTCCTTGTCATTAAAAAGTAGCTTGAGAAACAGCAGGCATTGTATTTTCATTTTTAATATGGCTGTCTCTTCTAACCACCGAAGTAAAGCACAGTAGTTTGGCTCCTCTGATTTTTAATTTCATTCTTTGAGAACTGACCAAATTATATTTGCAAACGCTGACTTTTGTTTCATATTTTGATAGTCACCTTTTGCCCCCTACGCACACGAAAGCTGAGATGAACGAATGGTATGAATCGTTGGTGGATTTGAACAGCAGCATAGGTAAGGAGGGGAATTGTAAAACCAGTCTGGATCTTTCTTTTCCTGGCAGGAGGTGACTCTTACCTTGCTGTGAATATGTTTGCTGTATTCATTGTTCTGGCTGTTTCTCTATTCCTCCTAAATTGCTTAGCAGTACAGCCAAAATAAGCTGCTTGTTGCATTGCTTCCCTTTTGCCGGCACTAGTATTTTCACATGGTAAGTTCTAGCAGTAATTGACCTAGAATAACTAACTACCTTTAAGCATAATGATAAACAGATTTGTGTATGGATGCCTCATTTTGCTGGCTGATAATGTTACAATTTGAAGATGCAGTGGGATGATTTGGGGATCCAGCATAGGTCCTGTCATGTTTCCCTTACACAATGTCTTGTGGAATGCTGAAATCTAGCAGTGGATATTACGTTCTGTTCTGGATCTCTTCAGATACCCACAGTGAGCAGTGTCTGCTGAAAATTCGTGCCCAGTATGAGAGGGTCCAGCAGAAATGTTTGACAGAAGTGCAGTTATGCCAGGTCAGTATCGCAGTTTAACAAATGCTTGGGAGGATTCTTGATAGCAGGGTGGCGTTTGAGGATCCAGCCAACTCTCACATAGCAACTGAAGTTACTTTTCAACCTCTCCCTTATTTTATTAAGAAACCTACTGTGTATTTTGTTTTGCAATAATATGTGGTATTAGTGCATGAAATGTATGAAAACTGAGTAACAGCGACTAGTAATGACCAGGGTGCTGCCCCACATTTAGGCAGAAGACTCACGATTAAAACCTCCAGCATTTCTGCTGAGTCTGGCTGATCTTGGGCAAGAAATTCTACCTCTCCCCCTCAGTTTCTCTGTAGATTCGTACTGTTTACTAGCAGAATGTGAGATCTGGGAGCTGAATTTCTCTGTGAAACATACTGGAAAAAAAATGGAGAGTGAAACTGTAGGAAGAACAAATAATTTCATTAATAGTCAGCACCAGGTTTATGAAATTAATGTGTGCTGAAGTAAAACACCAGAGCTTCAGTCTGCTATTATAGGATGAATAGAGAAGCTCTACTGTTTATGCATGCATCATCTACATCCAGCTTAACTTAAGGAATACTGAGTTTAACCACACTCTTTAAAAGCCACATGATGGTTTGTTATACCTGTGTCAATAATTTACCATTCTTTTTATTCAGAATAAACTGCTGAATCTGAAAGCTTGCACACAAATGGAGGCTGAAGAAATTGTGAATTCTGACTTGCTTCAGTTGACTGAAAAATTACAAAGTCGGTTTGAAGAGGAACTGGATCACATGGATGTATGGTTATTACACCCGTCCTTGTTACTCTGGACGTGCTCTTCTTCCTGCACTGCTGTGTGACATGTCATATTCATCCAAGGCCACCAGTGTCATGTTAGGGATAGATCCATGGGGTAATTGGATATCTATCCAATCAGTTTTAAAAACAAGCAAACAAACCCACTCTGGTGTGGTTCAAGAAGTTTGCAATTACTGGTTTCATATCTAAAGTAGCTTTTCAAGGGTGACTTAGATAAAGCTCATCCTGCCTGGAGAAGTTTAGTTCAACTGAAAGAGATTATGCTAAGTATTGATGTTCTACCTTCAGGCAGTCTGTTATTAGGTCAGATATCCCCTTATTCATTCATTTCATCTCATCTTCAAGCAAATATTTTAATAGTTACTGGTTCATTTAACTGTTTTGCTTTAGAGAGATTTGAAGGAGCTGGCTAAGCAGAATGAACAAAACTGTAGAGAATTGTACAGTTATTTTCAGGAGGCCATCGCCCTCTGGGATGTCCATCAGCTCAAACTCTCCTACCAAGAAGATGAACTTAAGCAAAAATTAGATGAATGCAGGTGGAGACAGGATAACTTCATACAGGTAAAAACTTCAGAATATGGTATGATATAAAGAAAGGACTTTTATACAAGAGGCTTTTGGAATTCAAAATACCTGCTTTATAGCAGCTAAAAAATAAAGGGTAATTATTAACACTTACGCTGATATTATTACAAGATAATTTTGTTCTGCCAGATACTTTTTTTAGAATTAATTATTGATTCTTCTATCATAAGTTATGCATTAAATGCATTTAATGCATAACTAGCCCTGTTAATATATTTCCGTTTGCTGTTTGTAAAGTGGCCTTTATTATAAAATTATTTGAATCCTAAATAGTTTTAAATAATTTCAGAAATTAATAATTTCTTTTTCCTTTTTCTTTTTCCTTATGTGTTCTTAGATGACAGAAACTGATCTGGATATAGTTTTGGATAAAATGAGAACAGCAAGCTCTGAAGAAAAGCTGAAGAGATATTTGGAGAAAGCTGTTTCTTCTTTGGATGCTATTGGAGCTGGGTATGAATATTGTAATGCAAACTTGCCAAGTAAAATATATTCAAAAGGTGGTACTAATATGTGAGTTGTTCTTGTGCTGCAGCATGAAGGCGTAAAAACCTCTGTCATCAGCTCTGCTCTGGGTTTGCAAATTTGCATATATATGTTTGTGTATAGATAATTCCCAGAACCGAATGTATTCAGGCCTAAAATACAGTACAATGATGGCTTCCAGGTCAAACAATGTATGAAATAAGTGTAAAAGTTAGATTTGGATTTAAAGATATCATAATCATGTTTTGTTTCTGTATGTAGTTAAGTCTCTTAAACAGTCACCTTGTATTTGACAGGTATGAGACGTTCAACCATGTTCTAGTGGAAAAAGTAATGGCTTACCCAGAAGCTGTTTTGCAGGAGTTGATTTCTTATAGTGAATCCATCAGCCAATATTTCAATGTAAAAGAAATCTTTAAACAGGTATAAAGAAAACAAACTACTTGTGTTTTAAAATCTTGCTGGTATGTTCACTTTTCACTTTTGGGAATCTACACTCTTGTTGAAATTCAGATTAAAAAAAAAAGAAAAATCCATTGTTTTGAAGTGCTTCTGCTTGGTGGGATGGGGGAGACGGGGGAAACAGTGTTTCTGAATTCTGCAATTTGCATTTGCTATAAAGTACATTTCAGCAAATTAACAGAAAAGTGAAAAGCAACAAAATTAATTTCAATGTTATGGTTAGTTCATTTGTTATTAGTTCAGTTAAAAGATAAATGATCCATTCAGGACTAGACTACCTTTTTAAAATAGATATAATTTGAGAAGAGATGTGAATTTATCATTCTAGGGAAACCAATTCTTATTTTTAAATTGTAGAACTTGGTTTTTTTGTTTGTTTATTTGGTTTTTTTGTTTTGTTTTGTTTTTTTGTTTTTTCTCTATTAGACCTTGCAAGGAAAGATAGAAACAACTTGTCAAGAGCAAGGTAATATCTCAATGGCAAAAATAGTTTTTTTTCTGCTTTCTTGTCTTTTAACCTGTATTTCATTGGGTTGTGACCAATAAACTTTATTTTAACTGAGAAGAATTAATTGAGGTTTCGGAAGCTGAAATTACAGTGGAACAGCAAGCTGAGAGCCCTGCACAAGAATATGAAGAAGAAAAGGAAAAGACTGATACCATTCGACAGGAAAATAAGGAAACACATACACCTGAGAATGAGGACATCTTTGCACAAGAAACGGAAGAAACAGAGCAACAAGAGGATGAGGAGAGTATTCCTCATGAAAGTGAAGAAACTGAGGAGACCGAGCAGGGGGTAAACTTTGCACAAGAAGGTGAAGAAGAGAACAAATTTGAAGGTGAAGGAAGTCCTGCAGATGATCATGATGAAATGGGAAGACCCCGTCAGGCTGAGGTAGTCCAGATTCTTTAAACTAAATAAGAAGTACTTTGCACAAACAGTGCACATCAGTCTTTATTGTTTAATCTATCTCCTGGGCAAATAGGACTTAAATCCTCTTTATAGAAAACTGAACTATAAATAACCATAGCAGTTTTAAAGATAATAATGATTTCCAATTATTTCCTAGGATGTGATCAAGAGTGACGAGGTGGAAAGCTCAGAATTTGCTGTTGAGATCTTTTCCACTTCTAGTGGAAACACTTACACAGTTTTGGGAGCTGAAGAAGCGGGAAAGAGCAGCATCCCAGAGAATTACGTTTCTCAATACGAACAAAGAGAATCACTTCCTGCACACCTGAAACATGTCCTTATAGAAGAAGCTGTGTTTGCAGAGCTTAAACGATGGTTAGTAGAAAACGGGTTATTTTTAAATCTTTAGGTAGTAAGTCAATTTTGGATGTTTGGAAAATAAAACTTATGAATCAATATCCCCTAACTAACAAAATGTTCTGATATAATTCCTTTCTTAATAAAAATAGGAGAAATTTTACATGTTGCTTTTCACCTGTGACTTTCAAAGTACCTAACATAAAAGTATTATTTACAAAGAAAAACAGATGTAGGGAAAAAAAGAAATTTGCCCAAATTAGCAGCAGCAGAACAATAAAGGTAAAATGTCTGGCACTCAATAGTATTCTACAAGTTCAAAAACACTCTGCTCTTTAGTAATATTTTCTCAGCCTTCACTGCTGCAGAACAGGAAGAGAATTTCAGAGAAATATTGCAAGATGCGTTAACTCGAGATAGCATAAAGGAGAAAGAAACTATTAATTGGTCATGCTAAGATTATTTATGGTTTTGATGCATCAGAATAATAGCACCAGTACTGTGTAAACAGTAACAAAATCTGTTTTCCTATGGTCAGTAGTTCAATTCTTAAAACCTGATATATTTATTTAAAGCTTTGAGTTTATACACATGTAAAATTAAAGCTTGTGTCTGTGTTGCAATATTCCATGGTGCTGACTGTTCCTCACTGTAATAATTTATTTTTCAATCATAGGATTCGCCTCTGCTTCTTTGAGCACTTGGAGAAGTGGTTCACACAGTCTTTATCCAACTCTTCCGTCATTGTGGATGCGAAGAGAGAGGAGCTGAAATCAGAACTTAATCTGCACCTTCACTTGCATCAGTCAAGGCAGGAGCACATAAAGACAAATATCTACAATGTTAGAGCTGGTATCTACTTTCTTTAACAGTAGTCTTAGTAAAAAATTAGTAGTGTTACAGAAAAAGAATTAGCAAGTGTTGGGAGAGACAAAGTGTCAACGGTTGCCTCCTGGATAGGAGAGGAAGGACCTTGCGATATAAAATGCCATTGAACGGCCCTATATTGGCCACAAATAATAATTCTTTCTTGAAAACTGTCAAGTTCTTTTGAGGAGGAAAAATAATTAAAGATACTGGGATGAAGGAAAAGATATTTGCAACTTGATCTGATATAATCAAAAATGTGAGAAAGAAACAAAGAATCATGTTTTTATTGTATTTTTAAGCTTCTCTGAGGTGTGGTGTGGCCTGGCTTTGTTTTCTCCTTGCTTCTGCTGATAGATTTACTTGTGATTGTGGTAGCCCAGAGGGTGTAATGACCAGATTGTTTTGTTGTTGTTTTGTTACCAGCGGAACTGTCGCTTCACAAGGAGCGTCTGGAGTGTCACTGTGCAGGGGTGGTGGAAGCTCTGGGCAAGGAAAAAAATGAATTTTTCCGACTTCGTGAACAGCAAAACACCATCAGCAAAGACTTCTGCTCACGGGTCCGTGACATGGGATCTGCCTTGGTTGGTGCTGCCAAGACTGAGAAGTGAGTGTGTTACAGGCCCTGTTAGCTGGGAATTTGAGTGGTTAGACTCCCGTGGTTGATATCTGAGATCTCTCTTGATCCTACTTTGCCTTACGAGTTTGCTTTATCTGTGCTGTTATTCAGTGAAAACTATCTCCTGGATTTGTCTGCACAGCAATAGCAATTGCATAAATAGTTTTGAAGGATGTTTTTCAATAACATCTACTGCTTGCCGGTGTCTTCCGCATGTTCATCAAAGCAATCCCGGTTCAAGGAGCTGCTTTCTGAAAACTAAACATCTTGAGTCCTCGGGTACTGTTTGTGTGCTTACCAGCAGCAGCCTTGGAAACACTCTATTTGTACCTTTTCTCTGTCTTTTAACACCTGCTGTTAGGTTGGTTTCTTTCACTGAAAGTCTTCACTCAGAGCTACTTAATCATCTCGAAATCATCCAGATTTCCCTGAGAAGCTACCGGAACTATTTGGAGGAATCTTTGGGAAAATTGCGAGATTCAAATGTGGATTTTCTCAAAACTTGCAGGTATAGATATTCCGTTGAAGGGATATTTATAAATACAGTTAACTACTTCCAGTTATCAGCCTTTATTGCATAAGCAGAGCAGTAAAATTAAATTTTATCTTGTTATTCAGCTAGTCAGTATAATAAATAAAAGTTCCTAAACCTCCAAGCTGTAATTAATACTGTTTCCATCAGTTTCATATGGATATCTGTGTAATAGCTAAAATAGTCTTTGAGAAAAGGAAGACTTCTATCCAACTGCTTCTCTTTGCTTTCTTTTGGGTTTTTTTTTAGATTATTTTCAGAGGGAGGTAACTTTTCTCCTGAAGAGATGCAATTTTTCTGCAAGCGTCTTCAGAAAGAATGTGAACGTATTGACTCTTTCGAAGGTTTAATCATGGTTGACATGGAAAAAATGGAATCAGACTACTTTGAGCAGGTGTGCAGAGCTTCATTCTTTTAAATTATGTGTTATATTCACAGATTTAATGTGACTTAGCACCAACCTGCTCCCAGATGTGACTGTAAAGCAGTTCTAGTTAATTCTACATGATAAATATGTGATGGAAAACATACAAAGAGATGGTGAATTATATAAATAAAATTGGAAAAGAGTGAAAAATAATTACTTCTGTCTCTTCCTGTATTTTGTAAAGGCTACTGAAATAATCAGCCAGTCTGAAACCAAATTCCGTTATCTTTCTATGGATCGAGCCTTTATGGAAAAGATCCAACGATTTCTGACAAATCTACAAGTGAAAATCAAGTCAGAGGTACGAACAGAAGCACTAGACCTTTGTTCAATTTAACTTTAATCATTCCTCTATATAGTTCTTTAATTAGAGATTTAGGGTTGAATTCCAAGAGGACAAATATTAAGTGACCTCTTCTGTTTATTCAAGTTTTCTGTAATTATTCACTCGAAATTGTGGTCTTGCTACTGTTGCAGCTATGCTAGATCAACATGGTCTTGCAGCACATTAAGCAGGTACCTGCTCAAATAAGTGAATCCTCCCTGAGGATCCAACCTGCCTCCGCCTACTCCCTTTTGCAAAAACACAGACATTTCTGCAGCTATTGGCAGTGCTCATTGAATTTGCAGGGATTTTCATTTCACCAGTATCTGCTTCTGCTCTAGGTTGCAAACTCTAATTTGCAGGCGGTGACGTTGAACTCCTGCCTGGAGAAGCTCCATGAGAAAATAGATGCTTGTGCTCGTCCTACTGCGGATAAAGAAGTAAGTTCTAAATGGTACCAACTGGCTTAAATGTGACTCACTGTGCATATTTGTAGCGTTGAGGAAGCACCCACCAGGGACCAGATGGTCAAAATGACATGATGGGTTATAAACATACCTGTGGAGGTCAGGGCTTGGATGCTCAATTTTACCCTTCCTCATAAACAAGTCTCTATCTGTGTCCATTACCAAAAGAAAAAAGGCTCAGAACTTTTGTTTAGGAAGATCCCCTGCTGTCTCAGTATTGCTTTTGCATGGATATGCCCTAGTCGTTCCCTCCTTTCCAGCTTTGAGTAAGGAGATTTTAAGGATATTTACACTTGTGATTATATTTGAAACCAAAAATTTCACTTCTCCTAACAGTAGGTAAATCTTACTGCTTCCACATATGTGTAGGCAAAATGGTGAAAAAACTGTTTTGGATGCAACTGATACATTTTATATAATATATTTTATATATTCAATATAGATTATATGGAATTATATAGCCAATATATTTTAAAAGTAAGAAATTTCTCTCTAATTTAGTAAATAACATATATATTATCATATTTTTCAGGCTTTGACTTCAGAAGAGTTGTATGATTTTTCTAAAATAGTGTTGAAAGAACTGAAAAAGAGGAGTCAGTATCTTGACTGCTTGCTAGTAAATGTAACCAGCCTTTATGACAACGTAAGATAATATCCAAGTTCTCTATATTGTATTTAATTTCAAATTTGACAGAATGGCAGGCTTTATATCAAGTGGATTTTTTCCTTCCAAGCATAGAAGATTCTGTCTTTATTTTGTAATCCACAGTAGATCATATGTTTTACATGTTTATATTGAAATATTGCTTATGATTATTAGATAACTGCATAGTGAAAATGTAACTGCTTCTAAATGCCCGAATTGTACAGGTTTAACAATGTTATAAGCTGTAGTAACATCATGTTATTAAAATTATAAAACTTTTCCTTCCATCCTTTGAAGCAAATTAGTGACTGTTTGGATGATCTCCTTTAGTAATTAATAACTGCATGGAATACTGTCATTAATGCATCCTCCAGTGAAGAGGCTTTTCTTTTCTGACCGTTCCAGGAGGACGTTTCCTCTTCTGCCACAGAGGTTACAACACAGGGTCCAAGTGCAGATGCCGTTCGAACAGAGTCCCTCAGAGCTGACAGCAGCATGATGCTGATGGGGTTGGATCCCGTTAAATTTCCTTTGTTAAATCCAAGCAGAATGGGAAAGTCTGCAGTTGAAGATATATCAATAAGTGTTATCAAAAACTTACTTGAGTAAGTATAAACTATGTTATATAGGAATTAAATGTTTGCCTTCTAGTGTATTATTTTATTTAAAGGGCGATTACATGCTACAGGGTGCTAAATGTATGTGAATGAACATACAAAGTACATTATAAACAAGTAACTCGCAAGTAAGTATTTTAATGCACAGAAGTGCTTATAGAAGCACCTCAGTTCCTGTTAAGCCATTAATTGCACCTGAAAAGCTCTTTACATTTAGACAGTCAGTTGTAAATACAATCCTATCTGGTGCACGTTATCACAAAAATTAAGCTTCAATAGCACGTTGTAGGGATAGAGAACTTGTAGCAAGGTATTCAAAATCCCCTTTTCTTTCAGAATTCAGCCATCCCAAAAGTCCTCAATCTCAAATCCAGAGAGGAATGAAGGTTCAAACTCATTGGCACCAGGTATGTCTGCAGTTCTTTCAATACGTTATATTCATCTGCGTTGCAGCTTCTAGGATGTCACTGAGCAAGTCCAGCTTGCCCTCAAAGCAGTGTCTTTTACTGCTTGTAGCTTACACACTAGCTCCAAGAGGGGTTTTTGCAATGATCAAGATGATCTCTCACTCTTAACCAACAAAAGCTGCAGACTGAAGTAGTGATTTTAGGACAAGGTGCACCCATATTTGTGATGGCAAAAGGAAAGGGGGTTGGAAGGGAAAGAATGGAAAGAAACGTCAGGAACGTTTTTTTGTGTAGAAACGTCTACACAAATGTAGAAAAAAAAAAAGACTTTGGTTGACATTTTTCAATGTTCTTCTCCTTTTAACTATAAAGCAATTCTTCCCACATCAAAGAAGATTTCTTACCTGAATGTGCCTGATGAAGGTCCCCAGAAATCCGCTTACAATTACCCAGCTCTGAGCACAAAAAAGTCATCCTCCATTATAAGAAAGGTGTCAACAGGAAGGTAAGACCTGTGAAAGAGAAATTCCGCTTGCCTCGTTCCTATGTAGAAATCTCTCAGCTCTGCCTGCTCTCTGAAAACTGCTCGGTGCTCTTTTGTATTAGCTTGTGTTTTAGTCTCTGCTTATGCCTTGGGTTCTCATCCCTGCTTACATCTTTTTAATCAGCTCTACATTTTATTTGGATTTTGTCAGGGGAAAAAAAAAAAAGAATTTATCTTCTGCTGTTCTTTTCTGTCATAAAAATGTTGAAATGTAGACTTAACACCACTTTAAGCCAGTATGGCTTAATTTTCAGGCCTGACATCTTCAGCTTGGTTCACAGATAGATGAAATGGGCTACTGTAATAGTGAAAACAGCAAAAAAGTCTTAAAGAGACATTGAAGAGAGTGTCTTTAGCAAAAATTATATCAAAAATATTTTCTTGTAATGTTTGTTTTTTTCAGTTATATTTTTATCATTTTTTCTTAAGTTTCATGTCCATTGCATGACTGACTAACTGAAATAACTGGCCTGGGAAGCAAAAGATATGTTAGTAGTTTCAAATTTATGTTTTGATCCCTTAGTACGCAGAAATACAGCAGAGCGGGTCGCAATGACAAGAGATTCTATATATTTGAAGAGAAGCCTCCAGAATCTGAGTAAGCCTTGTATATTTACTGAGACCAAAATTTTCTCTCTTACAGAAATAACTGTTGATCTCTTTAGTTATCTATTTAGTTATTTATAATGGTGAACTACATAGATAACTATCATTTTTTAGGTGCTTAATCCTGATACTTATCATTAAACTATTTATAGACAGGTTCATTTTGTAGCATATTTTAAAATAAACGAAAAGTTAATCCTTTTTATTCTATGTAATATCTGCAATAAGTGAGCTCACTGCGTATCTACAGTTCTGTGCATTTACACGTGCATGAAATTAAAAACCAAAGGGTTCAAGAAATAGTAAGTATTGCCAGTATAATTTTTTACAGTGTGATTCTCTTTCATTTTGCTTGTTTTCAGTACTTTTAAGGGGATTATTAACAGCCTTCTCTGGGCGGGTAGTGACAGCTTGCTCTCTCTTGCTGAGGTAAGAAAACTCAAAGTTCTTCAGTTATTTTTGCTGCCATAGTTCTACTCTTGTGGCAACTAATTAATTTGCTTCTGCTACAGTGTTTGGATGTTCCAAAAGCTTCCTTTCCTTGTGTCCATCTATTTTTTTTCCAATAATGTTTGACACTGTAATTTTAAACAGAGGTTTCTTTGTAAGTATTAAGTATGTTAGAGTCTTGGGCAACATCATGTACGTGGACAAGCATGGACATCCATACTTAGTTTTATAGTAGAAAGACTGCAAAGCCAAGACAGTTCCAATATTCTTCATTCCAATGGCATCAAAGGAGAATGTCAAACTGAGACAGCATGGAGGAGTGACATGTGCCTACAGACTTTCCAAATAGCCATAGATGTACTGAAGTGTTGTTGCAAGCATCTGTAACCAAGCTGTTCCATGTTAGGACTTGCTACGTGACAGTATAATCTTAATAACTAATATTTTAATACATATCACCAAACCTAAAAGCAATACAGTGGGAAGAAGATTGATAGTGTCTTTGCCAAATTGGTAAGTAAGCTGCACTGCAATCTCAAAAACTAGTACTTCAAATATCAAATAGGCATGAGGATAAAAGCTCTGATAAGGGCACAGGGCGAGGGAGACAAGTGGTCTTAAATTAGAGAGGTTAACAGCCTTAAACATCTCTGCTGCTTTTATATGCTTAGGTGTGACTTGTTTGGATGTGTTACCCACCTTTTCTGTTTTATCTTTGCCTTCCAAAGGAGTTCTACCGAAAAGATAAGCATCAGATCACAATTCCTGAAGATCTGCCTGAGACATTTGAACACTGTGCTGAGCGGCTCAGACAGAAACTAGTGTCATACCAAAGTCAAACAGAAGACTACTATAATTCCTGTCTAATAGGTAAATTCCTAGAGCAAAGTCCTGTGTAAACATGAACGAAAATTGCAGTGACGCTCAGTGGCAGAGTTCCGGTTGATTTTATGGGAAATTTGGCAAAGAACTAAGAGTTGTGTTTACTTACAATGAGTACCTCCATGTCACACAAATATCTCTGCCTTTTCCAAAAAGAATTTCGGGATCAGCTGAAGTTGTTTGAGGAGCATCTCCCTTATGTCTCACAGTTGGCAGTCAATAGTCTTTTAAAAGAGCATGAGCAGAAGCTCAGCTGTTCCATTGATCAGATTCGGCACCTCTTCAATAAGCAGCTGGAAAACTGGGAGAGTATAAAGGTATGTATTATGGACATGCTGGAATGCTTTTGGTGAAAGATATCCTAAATGCATTGATTTCCCAAAATTTAGTTTTATTGATGTTTGCTTAATCAGTCCCTGCTGATCTAGCCACAGACTTGGCCTGTGTTGCTCTACTGGAAGCTTTACCTTTCTACATCATGTCATTGCTTCTAGAACTGGGTTTCCTCTCTGTTATCTTGTACAAATATCTGTCATTTTTATTCTTAAGCTGTAGATTATTTAATGGCTGTAACATTGTGGCAGCACATACTATGTCGGTGCACTCTCCCTTGTAGTTTCTATTACCTACAGAAAATTTAACATTATGTAGTTTTACTACCTTTTAAAAAGGAGTGCATCTTATCAGCCCTGATAAGAATCATAAAATAGATTGTGCAGAAAACATTATAAGTAATTTTTTAGACTTTGCTCTGAGTGTTAAGTCAGAAAATACAAGGAAAATACAGATATAATAAATATCTTATTTGCTATTTGGTAAGCGAGATTTTCACTTGTGAAGTTATGAACACAAGCCAAGATGAGATGAGAGAGATGAGATGAGAGGCCCTGCACTTCAATAGATGCTTAAGCAGTTTTGTATATACTGCACTGCAAGGTTTATCTTACCCTGCCAAGGAACACAGCAAGTTCTTTCTGAACACTTGTGTATAAAATGCTTATTTTTACTTTTTTTCCTCATAATAATTCAATTGCATATTCCTCACAGAAAGAACTTTTTACTTATGTCTTAAAGGCTGTGCACACAAACCAATTGCGCCCTTCTCTGGGACATCCAGATAATTTGCTTCAGCTGGAAGCTTTGTGCCAGAAAGAAATAAAAAGGCAAAAAGAGCAAGCTGATGCCATTCGCCTCAATACCCAGAAGATGCAGGTAACTATAAAGCCATTGCTTAATATGAACTTGTAACCTAATATGTTTGGAAAGGAGAGAGCATCTTGCATGCATTTCTCCTCCCCATTAAAAGTAAAATAGAAAATGTTTTCAATTTTGTGAAAACAGTATCTTCTAACTACGAGTTATAAGTTACCAGTGTAAGATCCATATATGTATGAATGCATATATGCAAGTTCACAATCTTATTGTGGGACTAACTGATCTTCTGTAATGTTCACAGACCATACTGAAAATACCTAAGTAATGTCTCTCCTTAGCTCTACACATCCCTGCACTTTTAGAGCCTTTTGTTTGCCACTTAAAACTATTATATGTTTAGATCTGTAGCTTCTGTAAAAGCTCAAAGTTGGAGAGTTGTGTTTAGAGGCAGTCTAAAAGAAAAGGAGATGAACTATGAAAGGAATTAATTCCTCTCTCTTGTATCCCATTTCCCAACAGACCAGTGCTACTGAGTGTGCTCAGAACTTTGTTTCTGCACTAGCTGCCTTCACAGAAAAGCTGCTTCTGGAATTAGATGAAAGTATCACTATTGACGACGTACAGCTAGCAAGTAAGTCGAGATTGCTTGCTCAGGCCTCAGCATCTTTCTCAAAGATACCAGCAGGCTCTCCCTAAAAAATGGAAATAGTTGGATTATTCCTTGATTTTGTGTGATTTCTACTATAAGCATCTGTGCTAATTGTTTTGCTTAATCATATGCTTACTACTGAATAATTGGAAAGATTAAATAACACCTACTGAGCTGATTTTTTAATCATTTTTCAAAGGTTTCAATTACATTTCTCTGCAATTTAAGTTTCATAAAAAGTACTGAATGTTGCATGAATGCTACTGTGTTTGCATGTCTTATTGAATAAAAAGAGCTTCTCGTATCTTCTGTCATGCTTCCTACTATGTGAATTGAGTACTTTCTACTGGAACTATTTTAAACATATTCCTATCAGAGATGGTAGAGCAGAATTCAGTTAGCCCAACTTTAAAGGTAAGTGGAGAAAGATATGCTTTTATAAGCTCAAATAAGAAAAAAAGATTTTTGTATACTCTAGTACTTTAAATGGAAAGATTTGAGAGTTATATTTGAGGGTGAAGGAACCTCTAGAGTCTGTCTGGTCCAACCCCTCTGCTCAAACATAGTCATGTATGCAGAGCTATTTCTTAAAAGTGAAAACCATTGAGCTCCATGCAGCACAATCTCTTCAAAACAGCAGCATGGCTACCGTGGTTCTGCTGCTGCTAAGTCTGCCTTCTACCGTGTCCCAGAAATTGAAATGCCCAGAGAGAAGATCTCCACCCTGCTGCGTCGAAAGCAAGCTGGGCTCTCTTTGCAGACCTCTGAAGCTGAGCAGTTGATTGAACGTGGGAGCAGGTAACCTTTGAAGATACTGAACACTGTTCTGTGTAGTTGTAGTGCTCCAAACTCATCTTAGATACTGTTCTTCTAGTTTTCTGCTCCACTTATTCAAAATGTTGAACACTTAGTGTAAGTGCTTATCATTAGTGATGTCATTTGACTGGTTACAGGGCTGTTTGGGTAGATAATGATTCTAAGGAAAACACAGGAATGGACTGATACAAAAATGAATTGTGTATCCTATTGTAATGCATTTTTTTTTTGCCATACCACTTTTCCAGCCACTATCTATCACTCACAGCACTTAAAAATATATGAAAGTAGGACTTATTTTCACTCAGAAGATTACTGTGTAGAATTCTTGACATTTGAAATCAAGGGTAGTCATCCTAAATAAGGGGGAGTTAAAGCACAAAAGATGAATCACATTTTTAAATACGATGAGCAAAAACTAGTCTTCTAATCCCTTTTCTGTTTGGTTTTGCTTTGAAGGACTTGGCCGGGAATACCAACAACTACTCTTCCAGGCATTTCAGACCATATCCTTTGCAGGGAAACTGCCTCTGTGACAACTGCTAAGACCACACTGGGTCACGTAGCAGTAGTGGAAGCAAGAGATGCCGTATATGAGGTTGGTCTGTGGGAGAGGACTGCATGTAAGGGGGCAGATGATAGTGATTTTACAGAAGAATGTATAGATGTGTTTAAGTTTAGAGTACACAGCGTTTTCAGCCATATTCACTATGATAGAAATCCTCTTTCATCCCCCTTTCTTGGTCATGATGTCAGAAGTGGACAGGGAAGTTTCTTGGGGAGCCAATTCAGGTACATTGCAACAAAAAATTGTTTCGGTAGAGCAGCATGGACAAGGGAATGGATCAGAAACAGGACACGTTGCCTCTCAGCAGTACCATAGCTTAAAAACTAGCTGCTGATACCATATTTCTACCATGTCACTTCAATTTGGCTTGCTTTCTTTCTTCTTTATAAAGCCTACAGCTGTATCCTTAGGTCACAAAGATTAATATTTCATAAAAGGTAAAGGACAGTAAGACATTTTACACCTACCTTTACTTAGTTTAGAACTCTCAGATCATTGTTTCCACTGTGAAAATATTCACTCTTTATTCATTAAGCCTGCTAGAAGGATTCCAGACTACATTCCAGACTACTCAAAGATTCTGAGTTGCTGTAATTCCAGGTTATGTTATGTTATGTTATTTTTTGTACAGAAATACAAATGTAAACTTGAGCAGCAATTTGCCCAGATCAAGGAAGAAAGTGAAGCTCAGCTGATAAAAGCTCGACGCTGGGAAGACTGGTGGAAACACTCCATTGAGAAGATAAAGCAGCTCTATACATGAGATCAGTCGAATCTTGCTCATTTCTTTCTGTTCTGCAAATAAATGTACTCCTAATAAAGGAAAGTGATGCCATTGTATATTTGCTGGAGTAATTGAATAAGTAGAGTAAATAAAGAGTTCGTGCGCATGTCTCAGTAAATTCTGTTCTGAGAATAATTAAATTTCTTTCACCAATTTATGAACATTAAGAGGAAATTCCCTTTGTAGGCAGCATAATCTGTGTTGTGAATTGCTGATTTTTTCACATAGCAGTGCGTGTCAGACTCAAGGTGTACAGTTGCTGAACCTACGGTTGCTGAACACTGGAGCTTATTTCCAGAACCTAATTCACACTATTAACTTTATTCAAACGTTGTCTTCTCTATTTCTCTTTTTTTTTATTTACTTACCTTTTATTTCTGAATAACGTTAGCCAAGACATGTCAAAACTATATGAGCTTTGAGCTACTTTTTTTTCAGTAGTCAAACAGCATTTCTGGGGTGTACGCTGATGCCCAAACTCATTATTGGTATAAACAGATTTGTCTGCAATAACGTGGGTGGTGTTTTAGTTCAATGTATTTCTTTTTCCTGTTGCACTGAACAAGCTCAAACTTAAAAGACTTTTTTTTTTTTTTTGCCAATTGATATAAAAACTCCAGCGAATATAAAGTGAAATGTAGATTCGGAGCGGTGCTTCCTTGTTGGATCTCGGCCAGGGTAAAGTTAACTCGTTGTGGTGCTAGCTGGGATGTGATGAACTGAAGAGCAGCAAGCTCAGCTGGATCTGGACTAGAACTCATGTTTAAAGCTCTAGCAAGGTTGAAAGTGTCTGTGCCACAGCATGACTTCAGGTTATAATAATTAAGGGTGACCTCTTTAATGATGAGTTGAGCAAGGAACAACTTCTCCAGCACAAGTTCTTCTCCGTGTCCACCTCCTGAGCAATGCTGTGCTCTCAGCTTACCACCTCTCAGAAATCTGAAACACAGTTTTAGAAATATTTCATCTGCAAAGAAAATTTTCCCATAAAATGTTCTACAAACCAGGCATTTATCTGCCATCCAGAATGCTTTCTCGGGCAGGATATGAAGATAAGGCAATACTTTGTTCTGAAGGGGTGTGCAAGTTTGTTTAGTTACAGCTGCTTTCAACTCCATATCTTTTAAACAACTCTCTGAACAACTCTGAGGATCTGAGCGACCATTAAAATTGGTTCAACCCTTTTTTTTTTTTGTTTATTAGGAGGTTCTGTCATTAACCACAATCCCATCTGTTTCATTTTTGTTTACATTCGGTATAAGCACTGAGGCAGTAACTCGGCTCAGGACAGACACGGGGAGTGCGGATGCTGGCGCCGTCCCGAGGGCAGCGGGCTCCAGCGGGACGCGTTTTGTGCTGCTCCACGCTGAGCTGCTCAGATCGGCTGGCCAGGAACGAGCATTTCTCTGGGAGGTAATAAAGCTGCTGCCTGATGTAGAAAATAAAATAAATAAAACGGAAAAATCACCAGTGCCTTTTCAGACCCATCCAGGACCCGGACAGCAGAGCTCTCCAGCATCTTCTGAAGCCTTTTCAGGCACGATCCAGCCTCCGAGCGCAGCGGCAGCACCCGCTCCTCCCTCTCCCAGCTCCAGCCCTGCTTGCTGCAAATAGAGCCTCACAACCTGCTCTTTTTTTTTTCCCCAGATCCCAGTCACATGCTAGAAAGTGGCTTCCTGTGGCTGCTGCCTGCGCTGGCGGCTGCAGCAGAGCTCTGGACAGCTTTGCAGGAGGGCACTTCGTGGCGCTGCAGAGGATGCCAAGAAAGGGGACGAGAAGTCGCCCATACCGTAGTCCGGCAATGCACAGAGGTAATAATGAATATAGTCTATACCATAATAATTGAGGTATTTGCAACGGGCCCTCTCAGAGGCCCTACGCAAAGGCTCTGGGTGAGTCACAGGTAGCCTGTGGTCCATGCAGGAACCTGTTTTTTCCTGTTAAAAGAATGGGAATTAATTTGAGCTTTTAAGGCAAAACAGCTAAGTTGGGGGGAAGCTGATTTTTCTGGTTGTTGTTAGGGGGGTAATTTTTCTGACTTAATGAAATATTGTGTCCTAATATGTGTTCTTATTCTCTTCTAATGTTCCCTTGCTTCGGTAAGTTTGCCTTTCTCCTACAAACACATTTGTTAGGACCTGTCCGTGGCAATTCCTGTTTGCAGGAAGTTGGTGTTTCTCAGCTAGAACAACAACAGTATTTGCTCCATCTAGCACTGGGTATGATTGAGTCAGCTGCATTTACTAAGCTGCAGTATGGCTTATGTTTGAGATGAGTAAAAGGCATTCACGGAAGCTGGAATTAAAGCAGGAAGGCTCCCAGTCCTCCTGACTGTGAAGCAGCCAAGCCTGTCAAGAGTTTTACGTGAGCAGCCTTGGTGACTAAATAAGCAGCCGGACCCTCACACTCAAGTCCCTTCCGGGTTCCTGATTGCAGAAAAGCGGAACTGGAAAACAAGCAAAATGAAACTACTTCATTTCTGCTACACATGCTCCCATGGTGRAATAATCCACTTCTTACAGTGAGGTATTTATAGCTAGTTTCCCTTGTGTTTTGGTTTGTTGTGCTCTTTGCAGATTGAAAGCTACTGGAAGGGAGAATTTGCCTGTCTTGTGCTGCAGAAGACATGGTTTCGCGGAAGGTGGTGGGATCGCTTGTGTGTCTGTTTGTGGCTACCACGTTTCTCTGGTAAGCTTTTGCTGACAGCCTTGGTCACATTTATAGCATGAGAATTCTGGCTGCATCTGATGCTGTGGTAAAAATTGTAATGATCAAATAATACAGGCAGGTCACTTCGTGAGAAGTCCCTGTTAAACCTTGTAAGAAAGCAATTAGTATAAAATATAAGATAGCAGTAATAGAGGAAAAGGCCTTTAAAGGGAGAAAAGGAAGAAAGAATTAAAAAAAAAAAAAGACTAATTATATCTAATGAGGTTGCTAACTCACATCTGACTTGCAAACAATAGTTCAAGTACACAATAGGCCAGTCGCACTTCAGCTCAGGCCTTGAGGAGATGGAGATTATCTGTCTCTTCAAACAGTCCAAACTTCTTCCGAGGTAACCAGGGAAAGTTTGTGCCTTTCAAACCCAGCTAGGCACTGCTCACCTGTTGCTTCGAGAAGAATTCGAGATCAGGAATTTCTATTATTACAATGTTACCAATTATGCAGCATTTCTGATGCTGTAACTTGCTGTTGTCCCACATTGTAAGTGACTCTATTTGATCAGTAGCTAAGTAGCTGTGCATAAAAATCCATGCAGACTGTGTTCAGAACTGGAGGGAGTGGAAAAAAAAGCCTATGCAGCCTATTTGTCTGGTATGCAAATTAAATAAAAGGACATATACACAATATTTTAAGTAGTGCGAAGTACTGATATATCATTCAAGTGTATAGTATATATTTACCCTTTTTGAATGTTTTTATGTATGTCCATTTGTGTGCACATTTAGAAAACATGTAGACCTACATTTTATAGACCTATATACACATATTATATACATGTATACGTATACCTATATATACATATTATAAATTATAATGCTTAATCCTTATATTTCAAGCTGGATGCTGTTGGACTCGTTTTATTTTGAGTGTCCTGCTTATGCCTTGGCATCAGTACATTATGTTAAAGGATGAAGACGTTATGTTCCACAGTGAAGTACAGAAACAGTTAGATGGAATTACTTCTCAAAAACCTGCACCAAGTTCTGGGGAGATCTGGGAAAACGCTGGGAAGATCCCTTTAAAGATTTCCTGTCTTTAAAATGTTTCTTTCTGTTGCTTGCAGGATGACAGTTGGGAACAGGAAAGTGCATTACCTCCTGTATTACCTTCCTTGCCCTGAAATCTTGTAAGTACCCAGCTTAACCCTGGGTTCCTCGCCTGGGTGTGACACACACGTGCACACGTGTGGATGCACGGGGTCTCACTGTGCTTCCTGACATGGCTTTTGTATTGCAGCTCTGCTCCCGTGCTGCTTCCCAGCAGCCGTGCAGCAGCTGCAGGCAGTGCCTCGCTCTGAGTCAGGAAAAGCAGCGCCCAGGGCAGCTGGAGCCCGCGTTTGGACAGCTGTCAGTACAACAGCACATCCTGAAGCTGAACCCTGTCCTTGTTTTAAGAAATACATTACAATCCTTTCTTTTTGCCTCTTATCATGCAGCTCCATGAAACTCCAGTACAGAGAAGAGAAGCCGATCCAGCTTTTCCCCCAGTAAGTCCTGACCTTTAAACAGCCGTTCCCCTCTTCCTGGCCTATTCATCTCTTATTCAGTGCATATTTCTTTTTTTCTTTTGCAGATTATTTTATCCACAGCCAAGAGCACTGGCTCCAAAGTAAGTTTCTTTATTTGTTTCTTTTCTTTTGGCTCCTAGTCCTGTAAGTTAGAGCTGTTGACTTTAGCCAAGGTGCTCTGTTGAACTTATGATTACAGTAACTTGGGATACACTGCACAGTCCTCATTCCATAAAGGACCTGGCCGTGGGTGTGTGTATCTACAGCTGCCTGTGTGGCTGTAAGATAAGTTTAACAACTGCATACTTGCTAACGTAGTGCTGGTAATTCCCAATTAACACATTTGCACGTACTCTGAGCCTGTCTGAGCTGCCAGCAGGGACCTTTTTTTGGGGGTAGATGATACAATAGCTGGAAGGAATGTGGGAAGGAAGTGAGGGACGCTTCTGAGTTGCATCACATCTGTAACCAGCTGTGGGCGAGTTTGGAATCCACTCCAGGGCCAAATCAAGCAGGTGCCATGTATGACCTTGACAATTATTTCCATTAACCTGCTGCATCTCACCCTGAAACCATTTGAGGGCCTTCCCCCAGTCCAGGCTGCCTGAGAGGCAGTCAGACCAGTGAGTTTAAACAGCCATGGAAGGTTTTAGGCAGCTGCAGCCAAGAAATGACTCAGGCAGCCGCTCCTAGTCGGCTCGTGTTCATTAGAGCCTCCTGTGAGCCAGCTCCTATGCCCTGAGCCTCACCTCTAGCAGCTGCTCTTCAACAGCCACTATTTTAATGCCTAATATTAATAAACATACACTGCCGTTTTCCATTTTTGACAGGGTGTGCTTGGCCTATTTCTTTTTCCTTATTGGAATATATTAACGTGTGAAACCAGCTAGTGTATATGGGAGTAAATAAGGAGAGAATCTTGCAGCTTTTAGTGGCATAACTTTCTGAAGGGAGCTTTCTAGCATGCGCTGAGTGCATGCATACCATAGAAATGAGTCATTAGGAAACCCAGAACAGTCCCTTAAAATCAAATGAAAAAAAAATGCTTAGAAGACTAAACTTAGATTTCTTTCTCCCTCTCTCTCCATAAAAAAGGAATGACCCAGAAAGAGAACAGCGCAGTTAATACATATTCTGCAAATCAAATTCCTCTCCTATAATTTTCGTATTTTAATCCTTTAAGCCTTACCGTAGAAGGAGATGAAATTGTTGCTGTCCTGTCCACTCAGCCTGGAACTATTAGATGTGGGCTGAAAATACAGCCCTCCCTCAGCCCTCCGAACGCTCCCTGTAGCTCCGTGGCTTTGGTTCTGGTGCTGGGAGCGGGTCAGGGGTGGCCTCCCTGGGGCTCGGCCCCTCGGTGCGATCCAGGGGTCTGCAGGCCAGATCTCATCAGCTGAGTGCTCTGCACCAGCCCCTGGGGGAGTGGGAGCAGGCTAGGGGGAAACAGGCACCCTCAATTACATTTTCTTAAATTACATTTTCTTAAAATGTAATTTTTTCTTAATTTTTTCTTAAAAAGGAGTGGGGGAGGGAATCTAGAGATCCTGAAAACACAGAAGAAATGTGAAACAGGGCTGCATAGCTGTGATCAGGCACGATCAAATTCTGCTGCACGTATTTTCAATTTCCACCACCTGCGCAGGAGATATTAATCATTTCTATAATTTTGTTATAAATTTGAGTGCTGGCTCTTATATAGGAGTGTAAATTATATCTGAATGTGTTAAAGCAGCGTATAAATACTGGTAAAATAGACTGTCATGCCGCAAGCTGTGTTTTAATAACACAGCGGCAATAAGGTATTTTTATAGTAGTTTTCATATTATTACTTGCATTTTAAATCTATATGTAGCAATTTGCATCAAACTGATAACAAATATGCATTGGCTTCCATTTTGTGAGCTCAGTGGTCATTAAACTTCCCTCAGCAAACAAGTCCTGTGGACTTAAATGAGATTTTAGTGGAGCCTAGAGCTTTTGCTAATTTGGTTTCTTAAACAGTGCTGATTTTCATCCCAAGAGCAGAAACGTCCATGAACAGTGACCTTAAACAGGAGGGCAGGGACAGTGATCTGAATGTGATCTCCTCCGTAAGGAATGTAATGATGATGCACGCACTCTTCTGTCTGCCTCCACGGTGTCTCTTTGCAATTTCACTAATAGACCACTTAATTTCCCTCAGGCGTCAGGACGTGCTGACTCTCACGCCATGGTTGGCCCCCATCATCTGGGAAGGTACCTTCAACTCTGAAATCCTGGACCATGTCTACAAGCCTCTGAATCTCACCATAGGGGTGACAGCCTTTGCCATTGGGAAGTGAGTGACCCTCTCGTTGGGCTTAGTTCCTGATGTAGTTCCTCCTTGAAAAGGCTCTTTTGGCTCTTCTTGCGCTCAGCAGAGCTGCTGTGGTTGTTTATGGCCATGTGTCATGTCTATAATTATAGAAGCCTACATGGTAACAGCTTCAGCACCCAGGACACCTAAAGCCCAGTCAGTATTTCTGGAGAACCAGCCTCTGCTGTGAGGGCTGGAGCTGCAGATAAGTAGCTGACAGGCCAAAGCAGAGAGAAGCCACTTGTTCTTTGTCCTTTCCTGTGCTCTGGCTTACCTTGCCTGCTAGCATTAAAGTGCCCCCATAATTGCCCACCTAACCTCTTGCCCTGCTGTGCTGCCCGTGTGCTGTGTCTGCAGATACACCCGGTTCGTGGGCCGCTTCCTCGAGTCAGCAGAGCAGCATTTCATGAAGGGCTATCGCGTGACCTACTACATCTTCACCGACAACCCGGAGACGATCCCCAGCGTCCAGCTGCAGCCCGGCCGCGCTCTTGTCATCGTCCCCATGAAGAAATACTCCAGCTGGCAAGAGATCTCCATGCGCAGAATGGAGAACATAAACAAGCACATAGCGGAGAGGAGCCATCGGGAGGTGGACTACCTCTTCTGCCTGGACATCGACATGGTGTTCTACAATGCCTGGGGGGCAGAGACCTTGGGGGACATGGTAGCAGCCATCCACCCGGGCTATTTCAAAGTCCCTCGAAGCCAGTTCCCTTACGAGAGGAGGAGCAATTCAGCAGCCTATATCCCTGAGGAAGAGGGAGACTTCTACTACGGAGGAGCTGTGTTTGGGGGGCTGGTGAAGAAGGTTTATGAGTTCACCAAGACTTGCCACATGACCGTGCTGGCAGACAAAGCCAACGGGATCATGGCAGCCTGGCAGGAGGAAAGTCACCTCAACAGGCACTTCCTCTCCCACAAACCCTCCAAAGTGCTTTCCCCGGAGTACCTGTGGGACGACAGGAAGCCCAGGCCCCCTGAGATCCACCTCATACGATTTTCCACAGTGGATAAGAACTACAAGGAGATACGAGACTGAGCGTCTCATCTTTGCGGAGAGGTCATCCACGCAGTCACATCCACTGGATATCAGCTCCCAGAGCGTGTGCTCAGGGTAAACTTTGTGCCCATTGTGAATGAACTGAGCAAGGAAGATGGGACTAGCTTCTCTGGAGCATGGGTGTCTTAAAGTATTTCAGAAGCAGCAAAATTCAAAGTGAGGGAGACACTGGAAAGGTTTTTATCCTCCTAATCCCTGTAAGTGCTTCGTTTTGCTTGTGGCTACTGCACGTACGAAAACGGCCTCCGAAAGGCTCAATGTCAAATGCACTGCTATCCTTATAGCCAGGCTGCAGATGCTGTTGCCTCCGTGTTTTCCTGAGAAACTGGGCTGGACTAGTAGAAACTGGGCTGACAGGACAAATTAGTTTGATTTCATATAGCAATCTTCCACACTCCAATCCACGTTTTAAAGACTCAGGTTTCAACAGAATGGGCACCGTTTGAGCTCAATTTGAACAACTTTGGGTTTATTCCAATCACAGATGTGCACTGAACCTTTTCCCTGGATCACGTGTCTCCAGGAATCATGGACTCTTTTCTGACACAGCAAACGTGGTATTGAGAGGTCCATATGCTTATCCTCGTTAAGTCCTTTCCAGCTTTTCTAAGCTCTGTGAAATAAACGGGCAGGAGCTGTCAGCTTCCAGCGTTCGGGGTGACTTTGTTTTATAAGGAGACACTCCAGTGAGACCGTGGGTTTGCTCTGGAGCTGCCCAGGGGCTGGAATCACCCTCAGGAGCGGGGTGAGAAGGAGCCCTGGAGCAGCCGTGCTGTAGGGGCTGAGCTGCCTGTTTCTAAGGGAACAGTTTAAAAATAAAAAAAACTCATTGGCAGAACGAAAGAAAATGGAAAAGAGGAGCCTGACTCCTCTCTCCTCCTCCCGGGAAGAGGTTGCTCTATGGCAGCCTGGTGAATGTTCAGAGCTTTACGGCCCCATTGCTGAGGGCCAAGGATTTAACAGACCGTTTCAGTCCCGTGCAAGTCAGCCCAGAATGGTACTTGCTGCTGTCAGTGTGGACATTTCATCTTCCAGAAAGCAAATTAGAAAAGCTTTAACGTTACCAGTTATAAAGGTAAAATACACAAAATATCTCCACCTGAAAGCCCCTCCTGGCAGGTGGGTCTGTTGCTTCATGCTTTGGCTGGCAAAGGATCTAGGTGGTTGTGTTTTCTGCAGCCTGTTCTTGTGCCGTGGTGCTGGAGGAAAGCACCCCTTGGATGTGTCCAACACAACACTGAAATCCTTGGGAAGATATTTGGTATTTGGTCAGTGTTTGGTAACCAGGCACCTCATTCAAGCCAAAAGGCTGAAGGAAGATGCTTGTCTAAATATTTCCAAAATGCTACCAGTTATTTCTTACTTGTAGTAGCCAGGGCCAATAAAAACATCAAGCATCAAGAGATATAGAAACCACAAATCCAGTGGTTTATTTCCTTCTGCTCTAAGTTGGTTAGATTATCAGTGTTAATAGTAATAATCAGTGTTAATAAGTGTTGTTCCCCTGCAGATAATCGTAGCCTTCACTAAAGTCTCCATGATGGGAACTTTTCCACCACAAACAGTGCGATATAGAGGGTGGCGTGTGATTCTGGAGACCTCTTCTGAGAAACCTTTCGTGAAGGGTTTGGTCTCCTGCCCTGCTTCCTGGCTGAAATGAAGACGGAGCCCTGTGATGGACGAGGTGACAGCCTTTGTGCTGTGACAAACCTGTGTGTCTTCCAGGCAGGCCTGCAGCTTCTCCCGAGGGGAAGATCTTCTGTTAGTGACACAGTTCTGCTTGACGGGGCTGTGATGTGAGACTAGACCTAGAAAATCGCCGTGTCTCCAGAGAGCAGGTGAACGTGACCGCAGAAAAACACTCCTAGGGCAGTGGGGGAGATGCTCCCTGAACTGCTCACGTTTTCCCGTAATTAATGAAAGCTGAGACTTCCTTCATCCATCCGACTCATCCTCTTCTCCCAGCACCAAGACAAGAATCTCCTATGTGGATTGTGCATCCTGAGATCCAGGAGCAGTTCGGGAGCATCACAAGGATCTGTGTTGTGAGGCCAATTCCCCCAATCTCCGTTGCCCTGTGGGGAAAGCGAGACTCAGAGTTGCAAGCAGCAGCCTGGACGGCCACGTCTGCCTCCGCTCACCGCAGCGCTCTCCTCCACGTCATCCAGCCGAGGGGATTTAGACGTGGATTAGCAGCCACTTAGTACTGCGGGAACCGTGAATCAGCGCGTGTAAATAAATCAGCTGCTTCGCCCCGCCTGCGGAGCCAGTCATCCATTTTCAAGGTATTTCTGACACAGCCCTGTTTATCCTCAACCCAGCCTCGGCTCGGGCCCTTGCTCGTTCCCAAGGGCCCTTTGTTCTGTCCGTCCCCTTCCACTCGACTGGAACAGGCTCATCCTTCAGCGTGCGTCTCGGTGAAGGGCCCAGCTGACAGGCTCTTTCTTTCCACATCCCTGGTGACTTGCACAGCGCGCTCAGCCACAAAGGAAAAACTGCTCCGAGGTGCAAGAAACGGAACGTGCAGCCCTGAAGATGATGCTCTTGGGAGACAGGCTGTGATCCGATGGCTCTCGCTGCCGCTGGGACAAGACTTGTTGGCACTAAGCTGAACTAGCAGCTTGTTTCACCCCTCTCTGGGCTTCGCTTAACCGAGCTGCAGGTGCTGTTGCCTGACATTTATCAGACCACTTAAGTGAACAGTAATATCTACAAAAGGACTGGCCTGGTTAGACCTATCTGTGGTCAGAAGGCAGAGAAGCGAGATGGTATTTGAGCAGACATGGATGAGAGAGGCAACCTCACTATATATATATATATATATTTATATATATACACACTGTACCCATTCAGGTCCCTCCTTAATCTGAGTGCTAGAGTCCTTCTGTACCGGCTTAGCTTTTCATGGGCTATATTTAGATTAAACATAGATCCACCAAACATCACCATTTCAAGCAAAACACGTTTCAAACCCTGGGAGCAGAAAGGGAATCTCCGCTGCTTGTCTCCCCACCCAGCACCCCCCTGCCGCAGCTTGAGCTAAATTTAGGAAAGTCAGGTGAGTGCAAGTGACTTTTTAAAAGGATTTCCTTCTGGTTTTTTTTTTTTTTTTTTTTTTTTTTTTTTTTTTTTTTTGTCATGATTTTTCCCCCTAGCATTTGACATCGTTATAAACCTTTTTTAGTTCTTGTTTTTCTCCCTGTACAGCAGCGACTCTGTTGCTATAATTAGAGTCGGGTTGCTCTGCAGCAGCATCTAGTGCCAGCGAGAGCATCGCAGCCCTGCTCGGTGCCTGGCTCCCTCCTCACCCCGAGTTACTGGTTCTGCTGGTGCCACCACCAAGATGCGAGAGGACAAAATGTGATGGGCTGCGATTTGTCACCACTTCCCGCCGTGGCTATGGCAAAATGGGCTCTTCACTGCGGTTCCCTCAGCCGTGAGCCTGTAAATGGGGATGGTGGATGAGGCACCGGAGCGGGATGGAGCCGAGTCCCGGGCAGGAGAAAACCTGCTCTCTGACTGCCCGGGAGCTGCGTCCTGCGTGGAGCAGCCTCAGCTGGGAGCGGCCGCCAGGCTCTGCCTGCTGCTCCACTGTGTCCTCTGCATCCGTGAGCTTCCGTGCAAAAGGAGAGGCAGGATTTGCACCCAGAGGATGGGCGACAGGCATTGCCACCCCGCTGGGCTTTGCAGGGAGCCGTGCGGGCCCGTGCGCAGGCTGTGGAGCCTCTGGAAGACGTCACCGCTCCAGGCACATCCTCTCCACTGGCATCTCCTACTGCTGGCCCGGAGCCCCGTGACACAAATATTGACAACCCGGCCGTGCAGCAGCAACCAGCGTCACCCTCTCCGCGCCACTGCTCCGTGCTGACACCCGTCATCCCCCTCACAACTAAGAGCTGCGAGCGGCTGGCCGTGAAACGCAGCCCATCTCCATGGCGACCCCGCTCCTCGCAGCCTCCTCCTCCTCCTCCTCCTCGCCAGATTGATGGCGCGTGGCGGCTTCCAGCCGCGTCGCCCTCCGCTCCCGCCGGCCGCGGAGGCTGCGCGTGCAGGGAGGCCCGTGCCCCGGGGCTCTACCCTATTTACGGCTCCCAAACAGTGGCGGTGCCTGTGCACAGAGCGCCCCGATGTCCCCCCTGCCCCGCGTGACCAGAGGGGGTTCAGTGTGCACACCGGCCACGGCACCGGTGTGGGGCGGCCGCAGGAACGCAGGGCACCTGGGCCGGCCGGGGCGGGCAACGAGCACCCTGAGGGGCCAACGAGCGCCCTAGGGGTCCAACGGGCATCCTGGGGGGATAACGGGTGCCCTGGGGGGGCAACGAGCACCCTGAGGGGCCAACGAGTGTCCTAGGGGTCCAACGGGCATCCTGGGGGGATAATGGGTGCCCTGGGGGGGACAATGAGCGCCCTGAGGGGCCAACGAGTGTCCTTGGGGGGGGGCAACAAATGCCCTGGGGGGTCAGCAAGTGCCCCGGGGGAGCAACGAGAGCGTCCCGGGGGTCAACGGGTGTCCCAGGGGAGCCAAGGGGCGCCCTGGAAGGGCCAACAAGCACCCCGGGGAGCCAACGACCGTCCCGAGGGGGTCGATGACCGTCCCGGGGGAGCCAACGAGCTCCCCGGGGGGTTCAAGGAGCTCCCCGGGCGCACGTGCGGGCCGGGGGGTTCCCGCCACCCC